AAGATACATGGGAATGTATAATAATTATATGTCTTTATATAAAAAAAACCTGTATGTTGTGATCAAAGTAGTTAACCACACTAGCTGAAATTATTTGTATGTACAAAGTTATGCAAATTTAACAATTTTCAAACATCGAAGAAAATTCAAATATTTGTTCATATTAAACATGAAATGTTGAATTCCGTGATATCTTTATAAATAATGCTTTTTTGGAACTTACAATATTGATAAATCTTAATTTGAGCATCAAATTTATGATAACAAACCATAAAAAATTGTATTACAGGATATCTAAGGTATTAAATGTCTAATACAGTATCTCCTTTCTGAAAAATTTTCGTTTTCAGTAAGGAGACACAGTTTTGATAGGGCGCGGGTTCAAACCCAAAAATATGCAATTTTTTTTCCTCAATTTTTGTCTGTTTTCTTCCTTTTTTGTTTTGTCATTTGTGTTTTTCTTTCTAAATTCATATTTGAAATTTGTATTTAAAAATTGAAGTTTTATGTATATATTTTACTGTGAAATTGGATATCATCACAAAACTTTATTGTTATTTTGCATAAATGTGAATAATAGTTTTTAGATACATCATCAATATTTCGATGCCCTGATGACATTGAAAAATATCTGACGGGTTTTCTTACCCCACCCTCTTATTATTTGATGTAAGATGAAAGGTACATGTTTAAATAAACAAAAAAAAATCTTTTCATAAACATTTTACATTGATTAATTTGTAGTTATTCAAAATCTATAGTTCTTTATTATCAATTTTTAAGTAAGGAAAATATTAATCAAGTGAAACTTTTCTCCAGATAATGAAAACAATCATAATTATTGTTGTTGTATAAAACCGAAAATGAGAAATGAATTAGAATTGTCAATATTTTTCAAACAAGAATGTAAACTTTTGTAAGTTTTTGTATTTATGTTCAGAATATAGTAAAGTTAAATACTATAAAGTTTTAAATGCCTTTTATAAAAGTGTCAATTATATATACAATACCTGCAATAGACACTTTTTCTGTGTGCACATCGTCTTTGCTATTCCCAGTTATTATTGTTTTAATTTAGGGATCGTCCCTTTGCTTATTTCAGATCTGCTGGGAGCAGAAAATAATAGCAGTATAAACCTTACTTGAAATAGATAAAAATGTGTTCACTTTATACTCTCAAAACGACAAACTTTTAAATGTTGCAGGCTTAGTTTGACAAATTTGTTAATGCATCGTTTTTTTGTGCTTTGCCCTACGTAGATCACAAAAAGGCACCGCATAATAATAAACTATTTCCAAAAACATCTGAAGTGGAAGATTAAAAAGAGATCGGTTGTGATTTCAAGAAAATAGAGATAATATGATCAAACTTGAGAAAAGTCTTCGGAAATGTTTTTAAATAATTTTTAGGGCAATATTCATATAGTTGACGATGATGTCAATTTAAAAAAAGGAGTTAAGCATTATGAACTAAACTGAAATTCCTCTGTTCTAAATTAACATGAAGTAGGTATTTACAAAATTAAATTGGTCAGGCGACCAATTTAATTTTTTAAATACGTCCTAATAAACTTTAACCTACTTAGTGTTTTTAATTATTTTTATAAATTGTCGGTTTACTAGACTGATTAACAGTTTCCCGATTTACCAGTAAATGTGTTACGATTCATTTGAAGAACGGCATCCTATTGGACAAAAAATAATTTCAAACAGTAAAGTATTATATATTTTACTATGATATAAATAACACTTCTGTTATAATTATTTAGATAGATTGATTGATTGAATTGATTGATTGATTGATTGATTGATTATAATCATGTGATAGGCCTATTTATAATGGACAAGTTGTCTTCATGGTCATGTAGGATGTATAAATTGATAAAGAAAACAGTTTAATCTGTTTCAAATAATCACATGTCACGTAGCTGAAAATAGGTAATGGGTGGACTACCGCCCACTTAAATAAAAGTAGTTTGATTAGGTTGAGGACAAAGTTTTGTTCAGTTGCGTTCAGGACAGCGTTTAAGAAGGTTTATTCATCGAGTTATTTAATCGAGATATTCATAATAACTTATTTTCTATCAAAATGAGCAGCACAAACGCATTACTGTTTGGTCTTTTGATATTACTTGTGGCTGGTGAGTAAAACTGTTCATATCAAAACTTTTTTAATATGAAAAGACATTGTATTATATAACAATATAATCATTCATTACAGTTTATTCATTTAATATTAATTTGTTGAAAATTAGGGGGCATGAGGAATGTTGCTTTTCATTTTCCCCCATGTACAGACTCAAACCGAGTATGCAATGTTTAAGTAATTTTGTCGTGATTTATGATTCCGAAGGATCACAGTTTCTCAAGATTTTTTGTTAAATTCAATACTCAATATACGCGTATCATTTTTATTATTTGCTGAAGCATCTAGTTGTTTCATTTATGAATACAACTGATTTAAACATTATAATTTGATTGAAATTTGAAAGACTAATTTTTTTACCAGAAGCTTTGGTCATGATAGCTATCGTCCTCACCGTTTATTTCAGTTTTTGCTCTTTGAATAACCTATTGACTATTAAAGCGGTGCAAATAAAAGCACATTGTCAAAAACGTTTTTATCTTTATTTACAATTTTGGAAATTTTTTGACAATTTCTTATTTTTTCGTTAAGGGAAACAATTAAACAGCATTTTTTGCGAATCAATTTCTACTAAGGAATACCAAGTTTTTTTTTCTATTTTTTTTTTGTTTTTTATTAGATCTTATTCATTATTCTTTTTGTTTATTTTCTATGTTGTTTTGTTCCAGAATTTATCAACTTAGTTTAAATTTGCAATACTTGTCTATTCATAAAAAATGGCCATGTGGGATTAAAATGCTTAATGTAAACTGCATGAACCTTTTTCGAACGAAGTCCGTCTTAGATCGGTTTGACTTTCTGGAATTCTCCTACGCAGTGATCTCCCCTTATCAGTACAGAGATCTCTGCCATCACAACATAAGAAATATCAATATTTTGATATTTTATTTTTTTTTTAGCTTTTTAATTTATTTTTCATTATTTTGTATATTTTTGATAATATTTTGATAAAATATAACGAACGTAGGTACCAAAAGAAAAAAATAAAACAGAAAGAGAAAAATGACGTTGGATTTTCTATGTAACGGTCGATATTTACATTTAAATTTCGACGTTACGTCATGTGACTTCCATCATCATGTGACGTCTGTGAAGGCAGTGATTACAATTCTGCCAAGGGAGGTAATCACTGTGAGGAGTTTGGACTTTCTGTAACATAAACAGGGAAGAACTGAATATTAGATGGATTTTCATTGGACATTTAAAGATTAAAAATTGAAATCCAGGATCTTATTGGCTATTCTAAAACAAGTATGATAATCTTCCTGAAAGTTATGCACGTCCAAGTTACAAAATAATCTTAACGAGTATTTAAAACAAAATGTATAGTTAAATTGCACGGATATTTGAGATGTGTGAAATTCCCCCAATAAATATTTTACATCGCTTTTAAACTTTTCATTAATTCTCTCGTGAATATCTTATTCAACATAAGAAATTACCGAGTTATAAATGACACCAATAACGGCCACGATTCCGGATTAACATGTGCATACCAAAGACACCATACAAGTAAAAGCAGTTTTACTTCGTCCGAGTATCTATTTAAAGATAATTCTTTTTTATTTATATAACAGACTCGTGCATTGGCCCCAGACAATAAATTTTACGGTGTGTCCAGAAAAAGTTAAAGTGTAAATCGAACAATTGGTTTGACGGAAGGGTTCAGTATACTGCAACTTGATATATATTAATATGACGAATGTTAAAATGAAATAAGTTTTGTTTGTATTTGTGTGAAAAGAAAGTGAGAGATAAGGCTTTATATGCTGATTTTATAAATTACATACTTGTAATGGTGGAAGTATATCTTATCTCTTTGTGCAAGTTTATTGAATGTAAAATAGGGATTGTGCAGGGAACGAACATTGCCTTCATGACGTCAGTTCATAATCCTTATAGCTAGTTATATCCGAGGTCAATCGTCTATTTAAGAATAAAAACGTTTTCAAGAACACTATTTGAGCAATTCGATGTTTTGACATTTATTATTATTGCTAATATGCCTGATTTGAATAATTATATTTATATTGAACTAAGAAAATATCCAGTGACGTTTAAACAACGTAAAGCCGATTGTCGTTTTCGTGGTGTAACCTACGGAGTCTGACCACACTGAATTAACCAGAGCATATTTCACCCACTGCATCGTCCCAGTGCAGGTTGTCAAGCAGTTAACTAGTACTTGTTGTCTTAACTTTCGCAAGGAACTGACAACTTTTGTACTAGCCAGAGCAGAGGTACAGTGTAAACAACCGTTATCAATCATAACGAAAGAGAAACGAGTTCGGGTCCCCAACGCTCTACCTACGGGACGGTTTTTAAACCAGGTCTACATCGACAAGGTAACTTTCATAAAGAATTTTCTTGTCTATTTTCAGTGACAAGCGTGCAGTCAATAAAATGTTACGATTGTCTTGCTTGCAACGACCCTTTCAACAGTGACGGAATTTCAACAAAAACATGCGCAGGGTCGTGTATAAAGGGCAAAGTTAACGGTGTTCCTAGGGTTGCTTTAGACATAAAGTGACAGTTTTACTTTTAGTTATGTTTTAACTAGGATTTAACTTACTATCGTGTCAAAGCAGTACCTCTAGACGTTTGCAGAAATCATGATCACAAAAATCTTTTTTTTTTCGCCGATTCTTCCATTTTTCACTAATGATTGTATATGAATCGGTGTGAACCGAAAAATTAGACATCTTAAAATGCATTTCGGCAGATGAAAAGGCGAGATTTTTGCATGTAATCATTCAAGCACTTCGTCCAGTATATACGAATACAGTATTTAGTGTGGTGCTCAAATACTATTGTTTAGTTTAACTCATATATGATACCTTTTTTAAATTAACAGTTGTGGTCAGAAGCTGTACAGATGTAAATGGAGGCGACACGTGTCAAGAAAAAGACGGTGCCAATGCATGTTCATGTACGTCAGATTTGTGTAACAGTGCGTCTGCATTCAGCGTCTCATTTCCTGTCGTCTGCATATCCGCTCTCATCTTGTTCAAAAGGTTGTTCTAAACGAACAAACGATTAATATGAAAAAATTATATGAAAAAAATATGCCTTTAGTATTGTTGACGAAGTTTCCTATCACATGTGTGTTATTTTTTCTGTCATTCACAGGTATTTTCTAAGCATTAAATCTTTAGTATTACAACTAGGAAATTCAGGAAGAAAGTGTTTGCAATGTAAAATAGCTATGCTATCATAATTCAAATCGGAAATGCTTCAATTTTGGAACATAGCGAGATCGTTCTGGACATAATATTATACTTTAATAAAAGAATGTTTATGAACCCTTCTTTTTTATTTGTTATCCTAACGGGTGCCTTACCGAATTTATTCCTTCTTTTTTCTTTCTTTTTATTTATTTATTCATTTGTTTTTATTTCTTCATTTTATTTTAAAATGGGCAATGCTTGCTTTTCAAAGCGATAAAGTTTTATACACTTAAAGATTATTTTTTGATTATAGTTGAATGTTGAGCCTGCTGCTAGATCGAAATTCAGAACTATTTATAAAAATTAAATTTAAACATCTTGGAATTTAAAATGATCTGTTTCAATCATAAAAAAGAGAGAAACGGAATTCTTAAAAACGACGAAATGTAACATTTTGAGGAGCTTTTATCCCACATGATGTTAAAAAAATAGAAAAATTCCATGACCAACAAGACTAAGCGTGGTCAAACGCACCCGGGATAAGCGTTGGTCTCATCCGTCCACACAATCATGTACTTCAGCACTACGCCAAAGGACTATCCATGTATGTCATTGGTAAGTACGATGTGACCTATGTGATCTATATCACACCATTTGTGTTTTCATAAGAAAACAAAGCTGCTAATAATGTGAACTTTTGTCCAATGTTGTGAATTATATAGCCTGAAAAGTCTATACCAGTGATATATTTATGTAATTGGCTTTAGTTGTGTTTATTTGCTGAAAAATACATGACTGGCACCCCACCCTATACAAACATACGAAGGACATATTGTCGCAAAAAGTAAAATATGATGAACAAGATGAACAAGGAAAGGCGGCGTTCAATGAACTTTAAGTTTAAAATAAAGGGTTTTTGTCACATGATCAATTTTAAGGATGTTCACTCTAATTTTAAGTACCAATCAATAGCTGAATCTTAATAGCTAAGTTGCGAACTTTAGACGTTAGAAAAGTATAACTAAAACGAAATGACGCAGGCAAAAGTGATATTTAAGTTACTGTTATTCATCTTTGCATGATTATGCATTATGTTTTCAAGACACTATATCATTTACAATTTTATCCTTTTTTGTGCGGATGAATTGTTTAAGTCAGTCGTTGACATCATACGCCACCTTTAACAACATATTAATGATATGTCCTCTTCAAAAATTGTGAAGGGATAACAAATTTCAATGAACGATGCATCAGAAAAAGACAAAGGATGTGAGTACGACAATCCACAAGGACATACAACGTTCAATGAACGAAGCTACAAGCTTCACAGCAACATCCCAACCATACCCATGAGGGCACCGAACAAAAGGTGGAACAGGCATTGAGCATCCATTTTTTATTCAAAACGACATTTTGGTGTTACAATGAGAACGTGTTTGAAATTTCGACGTCCTGCAGCGTCATTAATTAAATCTCATGTTATCTTTGAACCGCATATGAATCAACTTTATTTTGTTAAGATGATTTTGATTTGAACTTGAATGTATATATAGACTACTTTCGGTACAATCTAGACTGATAGCTTTAGATAAAAGAGTGTTTTGGGGGTCAGTTATTTTCGAATATACATGTACATGTTTGATACCCTTTCACGTTGTAAAAGGTGATTCAATTGAAGAAAGAATAATTAAAAATACATTGTTTTAATATGTGAGTCTGTTGCTAAAGCGATAATCATGTAACTGTTTGGCAATTCCGTAACAGGCGGGATACATACGGGTGCAATTTTTTTAAAAATACCTTTCCCTTTAATGATTAAAACAATGAGTGAGCTAAAAACCTTCGACTTAAAACTTACTTGCTATTACTTGCCAATATCAGTGTAAATATGTGGAAGCCATATGTTAGCAATGAAACATGCATTTAGGTGTTCTATCTAGTAATCATCAAGTTTTCTCTAATCGGAGATTACCCTGATTTTTTCTCCATATACTATATAGGTAAAGTATGTGAGTAAATGTACAAAAAGAAGAGCTACGTTCACGGACACCAGCGCCTCGACAGCATGCAGGTATAAAGAGATAAGTATGACCTACACGTACATTTTCTTCTTCATCTTACGACTAGCCACGTAAAAGCGTCGGCAATCAAATAAGTACTTGCAATCCTGCCTAAATAAAACAAAGAGAAATAAATGGACGTCGTTAAACAATTAAAAAAGATACAACAACTAAAACGTTAAATGAAATAACCATTTACAATTACAATTGAAATAATTGTCAAACAGTCTTTCTAGATTAAACACACTATGGCAATGTCTGTCTTTCAAATATCTAGCTCAAGAGCTAGGGGTGACGTGTCGTAGCTCATCTAGAAAGTCATGGTACATATCCAAAAATCCTAGGAATCGCCGTTCGGCCGGGTATTTAAAAACTTTTCGTAGAGATAATGTTTTGTTTTCTTTTATAGACGTATTACATGTACTGTTTACCCCATAGGAGCCTTCAGACTGGTTACATGACTTCTATATATAGGTACACCGACAAAAAACTAAGCTGTTGTCCATTTTGTTATCACGTGGTATTAAATTCTCCATTCTGATTGACTGAAAGTAGACGCTCGTTCATTAGTTTTTTTCCTGATATTTCACATTGTGACAACAGGGAACATGCTTTTATTTATTGCCTATGTTACTAAAGAGAAAGAAAATCAAAACACTCAGCGGTCTGCTTTATACTCGGGAGCTACGTCCCCTCGTGCAAGTCAGCTAGCATCGTGCTTCGATGCTCTTTCTTTAACTTGTTATATGCTTATGACTCTTAGGTCAATATCATACGACAAGTATCAGTATCTGTAATACAATAAATCAAATTAAATGATGTTTCTTTCATCAAGGGTGTGTTTACTCAAAGTGAATTAACCGAAGGTTAAACATAATAAAATTTATAAAAATAAAAAATTTACTAGCTGAGATAATGTCGAATTGCTAATTGGAATTAAAGCTAAAATAGTATTCGGTGATATTAAATATAGAAAATGAAGCCTTAGAATTTCTACAAGTTCGCCAATAATTAAATGGTATGTATTTCACAAGACAAGATACATGTATATCTTTCTATAGTTTTTAAACTTATTTTCCTGTAATCAATCTGCAATATTATTGTATTTATGATTAATCATTACTTAAAATTAGAAGTGTTATCAATTTCGTCGCCCTAATTCCAGAGTGTCGTGACTCCAATTTTGAAAAAAATGAGTGTTTGGTATCAAAATGTTCGTAATTTTTTGCTCTATCTAATGGTAAGAACAACATCACTCTGGTTCTTGCCTGTAACAATATATTGAATGGGTCAGAGTGCTGTAAGTCCAAAAATTGTGATAAAAATACAGTCCATAATATCGTAACTTCTGAACCAATAGTTTGTTAAGATTCTAGTCACGTGATGCTGTTTTGACAAAATGGCAGATTTTTCAAGGTATCAGGAATGACATTTTACGTTTTATATTTCTTGATAACATGTAAGTGTTTTGCTTTAGAATAAAAGAAGTCATTTACACAACAAATACTTATGAAACAGAATGCCACCCTGTTGACCTACTCAGCTATTTTGTCTCAACATAATCATTTTCAATCTTATGCTAAAATTTATTATGTAATTGGAACATGCAAAGCAAAATAATCTAAGTTTCTAAGTTAAAAATAATTCTTGTACATCTACTTTTAACTCGTAAGGTTATACTTAGTCTACCTGTAATTATCAAGTGCTTTGAACCTTTGAACTGAAAATTATCCATTTCAAAAACTATTTTTCAAAAAGAAAAAAATATGCATGGTTAAAAATTTTCATTCGATTGAAACGTAGAAAAAAATGATTTTGTGAAGAAATGTTACAAAGTCTTAAGACCATATAAAAACATTCAGGAATCATTTGTTTCATCAAACGTTTGTTGAAGTAAAATAGAATTAATATTTGACTGAAACTCTTAAATATTGAGCATTGCTTTTATACGAATGAGTTATTGATGTAAACAGTTCAGTTAAAAACATTAAAAACAAACGTTTACTTAATTGTTATTGTATGTAAAGAAGTTGTATGACACTTTATATATAAATACATGTAGTAATTGAAGTACAGTAGTTCATTGAAACACCATATCCAGATCTGTAGCATCTTTGAAAATTTGTGAGCTTTGAGTTGTGTTTCATATTTTTCATTTTTTTTTAAAACAAAACATTAAGTAATGCTGTTCTTAGAAAAGTAAAATACAAAGGTTTATTCTTTTTTATGTTACAGAGAAAGGAACTCATTGTTGATGTTGTTTTTCAAAGTTTAAGCAGTTACATCTTTCAAACATTTGTGTGTGTTTTGTAAGTCAAATTGTGTTCAACATGCTGTTTGTCTGCAAGCTACAGGTATTCAAAATTGAATTTGGAATGAATTAATGATATAATAAACGAAACCAAAAGTATATCTGAATTCCAAATATTTTATAGTGTACAGTCTTAATGTGAAAATAGCATATCATATGATAAAAGTTTTGCTATTTAATGTGGTAAATATCAATACAATGACGGTGTTTCTAAATTTTGTTTACGTTTTGTTTAACTCAATGTGATACATTTACAAAATCAGTAATATTTTATTTTTTTGTTCATTTGCAAGGCTCACTATTTCATGTAAATGGTCATAAGATAAATTAATGAAGCTCGAGTTCAATTTCAACCTTAAAATGCATGTTCGTGGCTATTCACACTTCACCGCATTGTCTGGATTTCTATTATTGACTTTTAAGACTAAATTTTCTGTTTTGATCCTGATCACATTCTATGCTCTGTGGTGCCTAAATAAATGTCCAGACTATTCGTTAAAGCATTCAATTTCTAGTTACGTCTAAATTTAATATAATTTCAGTATAAAACAGTAAAATAGTCATTATTTCACACTGTTGTAACTCCTAAATGTAATGATATTTTAGGGTCACATTGCTGTAACTTATTACAGCATTCTGGTTCTTGTATTTTTGTCAATAAAATATATTTTTCAGTGATTTTTTTTATTTTGATTTTTAAAAAAATATCTACAGGAACTTCTTCGTAATTAAAAGTGTAAAAGTTAAAATAATTCTGCACACTATGATATATTTTATATTAAAATTGGTTGAGTAAGTGTGAAGATATAGCCTGTTAAAACTTTGAAGTCGATTTTCTCAAAATGGTAAAAATACGACTTACATCATTATGGAATTAGGGCGACGATCTGTCGTCATCTATGTCCTTCATCAGCAGGTGCTCAACTCCAAAAGGAGAGAAAGACAGGTAGATAGATCAAAAATGATTTTATGAAAAAATCACCAATCCCTTGTATTGCTGTTATCCTAGTTATCCTATACCATGATAAACCTGTAGATGTGCCCCATACACGTAGTGTTACGCTCGTAAACCTTCATCTTCATATTGCAACATCACTGGAGTGATTAACGAGAAATGTTAGGTTAGAAAAACAGACTGTTGATAATTATGATTCATGGAAATGTATAATCTTGGTCAACAGACGCCATTTCTGCGTGCAAAAAGTATACACATTTAAGAGGAGACAATAAACTAGGAACTTCAAACTCCAATTAATCACAAGTCACATCAGCTCTTTTTTGATGTACTGTTCACGGAGGTGATATTTTACTGCGCGACAAAAAATAAATTAAATCAGTTCGAATTGAATAAAAACAACATAATAATGAATAAAAAACAACAACAAAAAATGCCTAGCAGTAAATTCTAAAAGAGATGTTCTCCAATGTTCTGATACAAATAATTACAATTTTATCATGATTTTGATTGATAAATTGATTGATTGATTGATTGATTGATTGATTGATTGATTGATTGATTAAAAGTCTATATATATAATAACATGCCGTTTTCATGGTCGTGTTCGCATTATAAAATGGTATAAGAATGGAAACAGTTATTCTGTACAATACAATGATATCTATATCATACAATATAATAAAACATCCGCGTAGAAGATTAAAGCTAAATTTCGAAGAAAAACGGGCGGTTTTCCGCCAATTTTAATAATAGTATTTCGATGAGCCTAAGCACGAAATTTTGCTCAGTTGAGGTCTGGACAGCGTTATTGAAGGTTTACCTGTAATAAATATCAGTAATTTATAATATCATATTTTCTTTCAAAATGAACACCTCAAATAGATTGTTGTTTGGTATTTTGATATTACTTGTGACAGGTGAGTAATATTTGTATGATACAACATTATTATTATTATTAGTAGTAGTAGTAGTAGTAGAAGTAGTAGTAGTAGTAGTAGTAGTAGTAGTAGTAGTAGTAGTAATTATATTATTATTATTATTATTATTATTATTATTACTATTATTATTATAAATACTACTATTATTATTATAATTATTATTATTATTATTATTATTATTATTATTATTATTATTATTATTATTATACAATGTAATTTTACATACCATTTATTCATTGTTAATTTATATACTGGGAACATTGTTTTCAATGCCATTGTTTTCGTTTACAATAAATTTAGAGTAGAGTGTTTTGCTAATTTCAAACAAAAATAACATTCTTTCCTTTAGCATTTGTCTGGTTCATTTATGAAAATGATTGATTGAAACCACAGGTGAATGTCGCGGCATGACCATGACTTACACAATACCCCCGTTCCCCCTCTTCAACCCAAAACCCTTAAACATCATCCAAACATCATATTAAGTATTGACAAAAATAAATTTTATGAAAAAAAAAGTTATGACTCATAATTAGAGTCATAATTTTTTTTCCATAAAATTTATTTTTGTCAATTAGGTCAGTCATTTATTTTAGAATGAAAACGTTTTAAAGAACAATATTTGAGCAAGTCAACGCGAAGCCATTTCTTATTATTACTTGTATTGCAGAATTGAATCATTACATTGAACAAAGAAAGATCAGTGACGTTTAAACCATTATAAGGTGATTGTCGTGTTGGTATATTACCTTCCGGATCACGGCAGTAAAGCCACAATGAGAGCACATTTTTACCACCAAATTGATTCTAGGCAGCCTGTCAAGCAGTTTAACAGTACTTTGTTACCTCCACTTTGACAAGGAACTGATAACTTCTGTACATGCCAGATGTACAGTGTAGAGTGAGTTACAACGATAGTCACCTACACTGTCCGGGAATCGAATCCGGGTCGCCCGGTTTAAAGTCCAGGACTCTACCTATTGAGCTTAGCGAACAGTTTTTAAACCAGGTGGTTTACCTCGACTAGATACTTTTCATAAAGTTTTTTTATGTTTATTTCAGTATTAAGCGTACAATCCCTGGAATGTTACGTGTGTACGGGTTGCAACGATCCTTTCAACGATAACGGAGTTTCTACAAGAACATGTTTTGGGTCGTGTTTAAAGGCCAAAGGTTACGGTAGTAAGTGATGACTGAAATATTTATAATTTTAAAATAGATGCCTAAATATCGATAGATACATGAATAAATATTTCATGACTATGTTTGTAAACATAATTATTAGACAACGGTCACTGAGGTCAAAACATTTGAATATTTGCATAGGGTAAAGTGGGGGACTTAAAAAATAAAGAAATATAATCGGAATTAAATTAAAAGTCGACATTTAGTTCAATTCTTAGCATGATTTCAGCTTACAGCTTTTCATTTCTATGTCATTTTGCTCATTCCATATTATTCTTCTACAAAAATAGATTGATCGAATAATTTGAAAATTATTGGCACACAAGTTATTGGTACATACCTATATAAAGCTGTATAAATATGTCGAGAACAAATTATAAGTCCCGTAAAAAACTGAGCTGGAGCCCTTTTAAGATCTCTTACTTGCAGTGAGCAATAATGCAAAATTAATGTACAAAAAAGACGATTATTGTAAAAAAGCATGTTAAAAAAGACTGGATATTCTTGATACTAGTAGTTTTTCTTTCCTTTCTTTTATTTTTATATTTTTTTGTATCAGTTGTTAATTCAGAATTATAATATAAATAATAATGAAATAGAAATACAGGGATTATAGCTGAATATATTTTGCCCATGTGACGCAAACATATTCGTATAAAATTGAGAAAGTTAGAATCAGTAAAAAACGACCAAAACAGCAACATTTAAAATGTTGCAGGCTCGGTTTGTTTGACCCTGTTAATGGTTGGTACTGGAAAACCATCCACGCCGCTTGGGTGATCTTAAATTTTGATTCAGAGATAAAGTTACAGTTTTGCTTTTAGAATTTACAACTTTCAATCATGTTTATATATATCCTTCTTATATTAACAGCTGTAGTCAGAACCTGTTCAGAATTCGATGCAGGCGACCAGTGTGCAGAAACTGACGATCTTCATTCATGTTCTTGTACGACTGATTTGTGTAACAGTGCGTCTGGATTAAGCATCACATTACCTGTCGTATGCATAACCGCTGTCATCTTCTTCCTAGGGATGTTCTAAACGAACAAACGATCTATATGAGAAAATAATATGACTTAAGTATTGTTGACGAACTTTTCCTATCACACGTATGTCTTCTGGTCTGTAATTTTCAGGTATTTTCTTAGCATTAAATCGAGACATTCATGAAGAAAATGTTGCTATGTTAAATACTTATATGTTGTTATATTTCATTTCAAAAATGTTTTAAATCTTTGAACACGACATAATTTTATGCATTAAAACATGTTTTTGTACCTCCTTTTTTGTTTGTTACTCTACTTGGTGCCTTACTGATGGGCATGTATGTTGATTGCACTGTGTTTAAAGATTGTCGCTATCCCTTGCTGAATTCTTTCGTTCCATTATTGTAAGGTTATTAAGGGGAATGCTCGGTTTTCGTTAATGATCTGCAGGCTGTAGAGATGTAGCTTTATACACTTTCAAGCCGAGTCTTGAATTGAGGCTAAATGTTGCGCCTGCTCGTAGATAGAAATTCAAAATTTACATCTGTTGAATTTTGCAATCAGATCGGAAGTAAAAATGTTTTCAAAGATCTAAATTCAAAATTTACATTGTTGCATTTCGTGCTGACCTTGAACTTTGGCAGTTCGAAGATCGAAATTCAAAATCTTTCAAATAGTTTTCGTCAGGTATAGACATTGCACCAGTGTACAAATGTAAAAAAAGATCGAAAGTTTTCTTAAGTTCTGTTGTTTTTTTTGGCTAATTTTGGCTACAAATAATTGTTTTTAAGAATAAGAAAAGAGAGAAAATAAATCCCTAAAGAACACTTAAAACCGCGGAGTTGAAAATGTTGAAGAGATTTATCCTACATCACTACATGGCTTTAAATTATAAAGAATAAAAATTCCACCAACCAACAAGACCGACTTAGTATATGTAGCTTGATCAAACTCGTCCAGAATAAGCGTTGGCGTCATGAATCCACATATGTGGGCAAGTCTTGGTGTTTGTTTGTTTGTTTGTTTCATTTTACACCTTTTCGCAACAGTATTTCAGTCATATAGGCGGGTAGTTCCCTAACCATCGTTCCTGGAGAGTTACACCAGTACTATACTACCTGCCTCCGTGCTAAACTACCAAAGCATCTCCCGGGGATCGAACCCACGCCAGAGAGGTAACTGGATTCTTCGACCACGGAGGCGGTCAAGTATTGGTGTACTTCAGCATTTGGTCTATAGAAAACGAATTGACGCAGATAAAAACGAAATTTTAGTAACTGTTAAGCTTCTTTGCATGTATGAACAGGACAATATGCTATGGTCTAATATTATTAAGACACTTTTTCATGTACTTCAATTTTTTATTGTGCAAACGATTCTTATGTCAGTCTTGTCATCATCGACCACCTTTAAAAAACATATCGTTTCCTCTTCGAAAATTGTGAATACAAAGATAAACAAGGGAGTACAAAGTTCAGTGAACGATGTACCAGACAACACTAAAGGATGTGAAAACAAAGGTCATGATCAATGAACGCATCTACAAGCATCAAGCCACACAGAACCACCTGAGAAATACCCAGGAGAGCACCGAACAAAAACAGGGAACGGATATTGAGCATCCAATTTTATTTAAATAGACATTAGGTGTTTTAATAAAAACATACTTGATAGTGACCAAATTTCCACGTTTTGTAGCGTTAATTAGTTAAATTTCATGTTATCTTTGACCCGGACATGAATCAACGTGTTTTGTTCAAGTGCTTTCGATTTGAACTTTTCCCTGAAAGAAATGTTTATAGTAACTACTTTCGGTACAATCTCGAATGATAGTATCCGATAAAAGCGGGTTTAGGGCAGTTATTTTCAAATATACATGTGTGTATTTTCGATACCTTTTTTACTTTTCGGAAATAGATTCAATTGAAGGATTAATAGTGTTAATAAAGCGATTCTCGAGTAACTTTGTTTCACAATTCCGTAAGAAACGGGCTGTATTTGCTCAAGCACAATACGTTTATTGCAAACGAACAAAACAATGAGTGAGCTAACAAACTTTAGAAGTGGCTTGAACTGACAGCGTAGTTGGCATAACTCGCCAATATCATTTTAGGAATGAGGGAACCATATCTTATAAATGAAACATAGATTTAAATACTCTCTCTAGAAATCATCAAGCTTTCTCAAAACAGATGTTTTCTTTATATACGATAGGTAAAATATATGTGCAAATGTGAACAAGAAAGAGCTACTTTCACGACCCAAAGCCTTCGTTACATGCGGATAAAAAGCGATAAGTAAGCCCATACAAGTACAAATCAAGAACTGCTTCGTCAACATTCGACGAGCCACTAAAATGTGTCGGACGGCTAATTGGTTTTTGCAACCCTATCTTAGTAAGACAAAGCCAAATTCAATTGTCACAGGTCACCTTAACCGGTTTAATGACGTTAGCCAAATAACGCTAAATATATAAAAGATAACCGCCAAACGCAAAGTGTTGAAACAAAAGGTTGATCACCAAATTACTGCTGCGGTAGTGTTATCTATTTTTGTTAAGAAGAGATAATTATGCCAAAATGATTTTTCACATATTCACGACCTGGCCCTTAAATGCTATGTAATCGAATTTAATTCGATTACTTTTCTCGATTTTTCTACGTAACATATCAACAATTTGAAACTAGTAGAAAGGAGTTATTTTTCTTCTTTGTTTTTCAAAATGTTCACGATCGAAACTTTTATGTTTAACAATATGCAATAAAGCAAATTCACAACAACTTAAACATTAAAGTAAATAACCATTACACAATAACAGATGAAATAATTGTCAAAGAGTCTTACCAGATAAAACACATGTAATTCGTGATATTGATCACGAAAAGGACGTTGTCAAAATAAACACAAATGTGTCACTACCAATATAATCTTTGGAATTTTTGGCATCAGTATAGTAGATAGTGATATTGCCCTATATACAATCAGCAAAAATTAAGTGTTCTCAATCTACGTCCTATATCAGCTAGGATTCCACTCCAAAAGGAGATAAATAAAAGTTAGAAGATTAAAAATAATTTATCAAAATATCACCGGGTCCTTGTATTGATTTTGTCAATTCACCTATCCTATACCATGATAAAACTGTAGATGTGCTCTGTTAGTAGTGTTACGGGTAGAGTTTCGTGGACATTGCACATCCTTGTTGATCTTTAGCCTGATATTGTATCATCACTGGAGTGATTAACGAGAAATGTTAGGTCATATGAACGAATTGCTGATAATGAAGATACAAGGAAATGTATAATCTAGGTCTATATACTTTCAGCAGACGTCATTTCTGTGTGCAAAAGTAAACACAGTTAACAAGAGACATGAAACTAGGAATCTTCAAACTGCAATTAATCCTAAATTATACCAGATGATTTCAGGACCACCTTAAAATATCAAAATAGAAACGTTAAAGGTCGCATAACACGGCACACTTGTAAATGATGCAAATTCGTTTTGATATAGCTTGTTCATGGACAACAGTGGCAAATGCAAGCGACCGTTTTAACCAAATTTGTACAGAACTCGAAATTTAAATATGGAAAATAAACCTGCATCATGCATTCATTTCTCAAAAGAATTATAGGAGTTTATCAAGCTTGACACTCGCACAAAAATTGTTTTTGGACGAACTTGGAACATAAATCAGTATAAAATTGTCTGTCTTACATCAATGTATGTAGATTGTTTAAATCTTAATTTGTTACATAGATCAGATGGGTCCCTTACATCAAAAATATGTGCAAAAGATAATTAAGCAATATACTCAATAATTAAGGAATCGTATTTTTGTGCTATTTTTCGTCAGGTTTGACTCAAGAGTGTTGTAACGTCTTTTTCAATTTAGAACCATTTTTCACATTAAGAATGACTGTTCTGGAAAACGGAGTGAGCGAATGATCTGTTATTTTGCACACAAGTTATTAGTCTATACCTACATCAAATAGAATATAAATCTCGAAAATTATTTCCAGTCCACTCATGTCAAATACATCAGTGGAGAGTAACTTTAAGATGAAGAAAACAGTTTAATCTATTTCATAACATCATATGTAAAATCTACGAAGAAGATTAAATCTTCATTCAGAATAAAGAAAACGGGCGATTTACCGCCAATTGTTTTTATAAAAGTAGTTCGACAAGCTTGCGCACAAAGTTCTGTTCAGTTGAGGTCCCGACAGCGTTTAAGAAGGTTTATTCAACTAGTGACATATAATAACTTATTTTCTTTCAAAATGTACAGCACAAATACATTATTGTTTGGCCTTTTGATATTACTTGTGACTGGTGAGTATTAATTTAATCAATATTAAAATGTTTGTTTTAAGATATGATGCGACATTGTATTTTATTACAATATAATTATACATCAGGCTCAAAACTTTATTCATTGTTAATTAGTTTACATTTTGTCTACTGGGAGTATTGTTCACAAAGCTATGTTTTCCGTGTACAATAAATTTACTGTTGTGTCTTAGGTTAATTGAATACTAAAATGTCGTTTATGAAAGCAATTGATTAAATTAATTTAATTGAAATTTGAAACACTTTTTTTATTACTAGTATTTATAACAACCATGATTGTCACCGTTTATTTCAGTCTTGCTTATTGACCATTCAAGCGGAGCAAATGAAATCACGCCATTAAAAACATTTTGATTTTTTTTAAATTTTGCCCATATTTAGAAAGGGCTTGAACGATTTCTTACCTTTCGTTAACGGAAAAAATATAACAGCAGTTTTTTGCGGATAAAATTTTGCTAATAAAAACCAAAATTTTGCTAATTAAGTTTTGCTAATTTATTATCATTAAAAAATATTGCTGTTAATTTTCTTAAAATTGTTTTATATATTTCGTTTCAGAATTTATCACATGAATTTAAATTTGCCATCACTAATTTATTCAAAGAAAAATGACCATGTGAGATTAAATTACTACAAGTAAACTGCAAAAACTTGTTTATATATATAACAGACTCGTGTATCGTCCTACGAAAATAACTTTTACGGTGTATCCAGCAATAATTTCGATTTTCAGGGTGTGCTTGTAAATCGGATAACAGGTTTGACGGAAGGGTACTTTAATTTAAAATCTGAAAATATGACGAATATTAAAAATGAAATTAGGGTTTTTTGTTGTTGGTTTATTTTTGGTGACGCGGGATACAGAACAAATAAAGAAAGAGAGATATATACATGTATATACTGCTTTATATGTTAATTCTTTTAATTGCAAACTTCTTAAGGTGAAAATATGTCTTATCTTATTGTTTAAGTTTAATAAATATCTCTTATGGGATTTTGGAAGGAAATAAAAATGTCTTTGTCACTATGTCTTCCTAATTCTCTATAGCTAGTAATATCTGTAACTTTCCCGGAAGGTTTTAAAAATCAGGTTTACCTCGAACAGGTGTAACCTTTCATAAGATTCTTTTGACCTATTTTCAGTGATAAGCGTGCAGTCCATAAAATGTTACGAGTGTACGGGATGCAACGACCCTTTCAACGATAACATAGGTTCTACAAGTGAATGCTTAGGGTCATGTATAAAGGCCAAAGCTTACGGGAGTAAGTGATGATTGAAATATTTATAATTTTAAAATAAATGCCTAAATATTTATAGATTCATGGGAAATATATTTGCATGACTGTGTGAGTAAACATAATTATTACACAACGGGGTCCACTGAGGTCGAAACGTAGAATCAAACATTAATATTAACATACTGGGTCCTACTAGGGCACTTAAAAATAATAAATATATATATTCAGCATTAAATTAAACCTCGACATTTAGTCTAATTCTAAGCATGAATTCAGCTTTTCATTCTTATGTCATCATTACAAATTATTCTTCTGGAAAAACGGATTGGACGTATGATCTGAAATTCTTTGAAATAAGTTAAAGGTACAGACCTAGATGAAATGTATAAACATGTCGAAAACACCTTTCTATTTACCGTAAAATCTCAGCTGCAATCCTTATAAGAATTCTTACATGCAGCGAGAAATAATGCAAAGTTAAAGTACAGAGTAGAAGAAAAATTGTATAAAAGCATAATAAAGGGCCTGAATATTCTCGATACTAGTAGTTTTCCTTACCTTTCTTTTATTTTTATAATCTTTTATATCAGTTGTTAATTTGGAAATATAACAATGATAAAATAGAAAAACAGGGGAGTAGTTGTATTTATAGAATATGTTTTTGCCCATATGACGCAAACATACTCATATAAAATTGAATAAACAGAATTGCGATAGATCACCCAAAATGGCAAAGATTTAAATTATGCAGGCTCAGTTTATTTGAGTCTCTTCGTGGACGGTACTGGAAAATGCAAGCTACAATCAACGTCTCTAGGCTGATCTTTAATTTTTTTTATTTAGAGATAAAATGAAAGTTTTTTATTTAGAACTTACAACATTTAGTTATGTTTGTAAATGTACCCTTCTTAAATTAACAGTTATGGTCAGAAGCTGTTCAGATGACAATCAAGGCGACAAGTGTACGGAAAATGGCGATACGTTTTTATGTTCGTGTACGTCTGATTTGTGTAACAGTGCGTCTGGATTTAAAGTTTCATTTTCTGTCGTCTGCATATCCGCTCTCATATTGTTCCTAAGGCTGTTCTAAACGAACAAACGATTCATATGGAAACATAATATGTTTTAAGTAGTGTTGACAGACTTTCTTCTATCGCACGTGTGTCTTTTTTCCTGTCATTTTTCAGGTATTTTCTGAGCATTGAATCAGGACATTCAAAGTGTTGGCAATGTAAAATACCAATGCCATCAAATTTTAATTCAGAAATTGTTTTTAATTATGGAACACACCAATACGGTCAAGACAAAATATTATGCATTAATAAAAGAATGTTTTAGTACCCTCGTTTTTGTTTGTTTTCCTACTGGATAACTAACCGATGATCCTTTTATTTTCATATGTAGAAAGAAAGAAGCTTTATACACGTTAAATCTGAATATTGAATTAAAGTTGAATGTTGAGCCTGGTCGTAGTTAAAAATGCAAAATTAACATAAGTTAAAGTTTTTGCTGGGATTGAATTTCGAACCATCGAAAATAATTTCTTTCTAAAGATCGAAATTTAAATTTACATCTGTACTTATGTACATATACATGCAATAAAAGATCGACAGTTTGTCATATAATAAATATCTGTAAATTTATTAAAGAAGCATTTACTGTTAGAAATGATGTCTTATATATGTACACTTGTTCTGATCACTATGAATATATATGTATATTTGTTGATAAATATAGTTTCATGCTAAATTGTTTGATATGTTTGTATATATGATCAATATTTTAAGTATTTTTTTTAGTTTATTAGCCAAAGTCAAGCTTTTGTCGATATTTGCTAATAAATGTTGTTGTTTTTGTTGTTTATAATTAAAGATTGACAGTCCTGTTAAATACTTTTTTGTTTTCTTATTAAATTTAAACACATTCCTTTATGAATCTTAAGCATGCAATATATCTGAATCTCCCACGATTGTTGAAAACTCCCAAAAAGATTTATGCAAGATCAATGTATCGATAACAAAATATTCCCAACAGAGAGATTGACTTTCACACTAATGACTCAAATACATGTGTATTTTGTGGATATATTTTTTTTTATTTTACTAATATTGACAAAACATCAATCATCACTTTCTTAACTGATATTTTATCTCGTTTCAAAACCCTGCAATCGTCATATAAGAGAAAATCAGTGATTTACATAACTGTAGAAAATATAAATAGATAATGTGGCATATGTTTCAATTATACAAAATAGAGAAGAGGAATCTCCAAAGAACACTTAAAAATGATGCAATTGAAAATGTTGCAGCGCTTTTATTCCACATGACTTTACACAAAGACAGAAAAATCTTTTTACCGAATAAGTACGTTAAGCGCGATCAAATGCGTTGGCGCCACGAGTCTACAAATGTGGGCAAGTGTTTGAGTTATCCAGCACTAGGTCTATCGACTTCAGACATTCGGATAAAGAAAATCATTTGATTTCTTTGGTAAGCACAAAGCACACAATAGTACACCACATGTTTCTAATAACACTAAACAACTAATTGTAAGAAATTTTGTCAAATGTGAATAACATCGAAGGAAACACAACCACACAGAACAAAGTGAGAAAATAAAAAGGAGGGAACGTAAAATGTGCATCCATTTTTCGTTTAAAAAGATATTTTGGTGTTTTGATAAAAAATTGTTAGATAGTTACCACATTTCAACGTCCTGGGGCGTTCATCAATTAAATATCGTTGTTATCTTTAAACCGCACATGAATCAAGGTGTATTGTTCAAGTGTTTCGGTTTGAACTTTTCCCTGAAAGTAGTGTTTATTTCGGGACAATCCCGAGTGATAGTATCCGATAAAAGTGTGTTTAGAGCAGTGATTTTCAAATAGACATGTATGTGTTTTGATACCTTTTTACGTTTCAAAAATATACTTAATTGAAGGATTAATAGATCTGAATACATCAAAATATGTTACTGTGTTAATAAAGCGATGCAAGTATAACTCTGTTTCACAATTCCGTAAAAGACAGGCTGTATTTTTTCTCATTGACAAGCACAATACGTTTTCAGCAAAACGAACAAAAGAATGAGTGAGCTAACAAACTTTAGAAGTGGCTTGAACTGACAACGTAGTTGGCATACCTCGCCTAAATCATTTTTGGAATGAGGGAACCATACTTTGGCAATGAACATAGATTGAGATACTTTCTCCAATCAGATGTTTTATTTATATACGATTTTGTGATCAAATGTCAACAAGAAAGAGCTTCTTTCAAGGTCCAAAGCCATTCGTAACATGCGGATAAAAAGCGATAAGTAGGAACATACAAGTACAAAGCAAGTACTGCTTCTTCAACATTCGACGTGCCACTAAAATGTTTCGGACGGCTAATTGGTTTTTGCAACCCTGTCTTAATAAGACAAAACCAAATTTAATACATACAGGTCACCTGTGCCGGTTAATTGACGTTTTTTTTTTTTTTTTTTTTTTTTTTTTTTTTTTTTTTTTTTTTTTTTTTTTTCATTTTTACGCCTTTTCCCAACAGTATTTCAGTCATATAGGCGAGTAGTTTCCTAACCATTGTTCCTGGAGAGTTACACCAGTACTAAACTACCTTCCTCCGCGCTAAACTACCAAAGCATCTCCCGGGGATCGAACCGACGCCAGAAAGGTAACTGGATTAGAAGTCATCGACTCTAACCCCTCGGCCACGGATTAAATGACGTTAACCCAATAACACTTAATATATACGTAAAAGATAACCACCAAACACAAAGTGCCGAAACAAAAGGTCGATCAGCAAATTACTGCTGCGATAGTGTATTCTATTTTTTAAAGAAGAGATATGCCAAAATTATGTTTCAAACATTTTTGTTTTGCTCATGACTTGGCCCTTATATGCTAGTCCAATTCCTTTTCTCAGTTTTTCTACGAAATATATCAACAGTTTGAAAGTAGTTAAAAGTTATTATCCTTCTTTTCTTTTCAAAATGTTCATGATTGAACGTTTTGTGTTTAACAATATGCGAAACATCACAACAACTTAAACATTAAAGGAAATAACCATTACACAATCAAAAATGAAATAATTGTGAGGAAATAACCATTACACAATCAAAAATGAAATAATTGTGAGGAAATAACCATTACACAATCAAAAATGAAATAATTGTGAGGAAATAACCATTACACAATCAAAAATGAAATAATTGTGAGGAAATAACCATTACACAATCAAAAATGAAATAATTGTGAGGAAATAACCATTACACAATCAAAAATGAAATAATTGTGAAAAAGTTTTACTAGATTAAAACATGTAATTCGCGTTATTAATCATGAAAAAAACGTTGTCAAAACAAACACGAATTTGTCACTGCCTATATAGTTTTTAGAATGTTTAGCAGCAGTATATCTACTTGCTTTTCATAATATTGCCCTATATAAAAATCAGCAATATCATTTGATATTATGATTCTGCATCACTTAAATTTTCAAGTGTTATCAATCTACGTCCTTCATCAGCAGGATTTCCACTTCAAAGTGGAGATAAATAAAAGTAAGTAGATTAAACATAATTTTATGAAAAATATCATCGGGTCCTTGTATTCACCGCTGTCCTATACCATGATAAAACTGTAGATGTGCCATGTTAGTAGTGTTACGGCTGGAGTGTCGTGGACATTGCTCACCCTTGAAGATCCTTAGCCTCATATTATAACACAGGAGTGATTAACGAGAAATGTAACGTCCGATTAACGGACTGTTGATAAACAAGATACCTGGAAATGTATAATCTAGGTCTTTATACATTAAATATTAGGATTTATGTGTGCAAAAGTATACACATTTCAAAAGGAGTCAAGAAACTATGAATCTTCAAATTGTTATTAATCCTAAATCTAACGAGATGATTTTAGGATAACATCAAAAAGGAAACTTTAAATGTTGCAAAAATCGGTAAAATGTAATGTTGCAGGCTCTTTTTTTATATAAAGCAAGTTCAATGTGTTCGATTTGATTAAAAAATCATATAACTATGAATAAAAACCTAAAATGCTGTGCAGTAAATTCTAAAAAAAGATGGTCTTCAATTTTCTGATATATTGTTAAGCATTATACATGTATACTAAACAATCATTATTATGTTCTTATTAAATACTTCAAACTGTTTCATAAAATAGAGAAAATAAGAATCCCTAAAGAAAGTCCAACACAGCAAAATTGAAAATGTTGCAGGCTCGATATGATTGAGCCGGTTCATAAGTCATTGATGATAACTTTCTTCTGTGATAAAAAAGGACATGCCTTTACTTTGATATTAAATACAATTTTATTATGAGTCTGATTGATTGATCATGATTGACTGATTGATTGATCATGACTGACTGATTGATTTAATTAATATAAGCCTATATGTAATAACATGTCGTTTTAATGGTCGTGTAAGTTTGATAAAATGGTATCAGATAAAGAAAACAGTTTATTCTGTTTCATACAATATCACCTGTAAGATGCAATCGCATAAAACAACCGCGTAGAAGATAAAAGCTTAATTTCGACGAAATGAGGTCGGTTTACAGCTTATCTTAATAAAAGTAGTCCGATGAGCCTGGGCACGAAAAAGTAGTCCGATGAGCCTGGGAACAAAATTTTGCTCATTTAAGGCCTGGGCAGCGTTAAAGAAGGATTATTCAATATAATAAATATCAGTTATTTATAATAGCTTAATTTCTTTCAAAATGAACAGTTCAAATATATTGATGTTTGGCATTTTGATATTTCTTATGACTGGTGAGTAATAAAACAATAATTATTTGTTTTAAATATGATACGTGTATGAATAAACATATAATTATACATTACAGTTCATGCATGAAATAAAACAAAGCATTGAGGGCCTCATAGAATTATAATAGAGTTATAATAGTAAAAGTTCAACTTGGAAGTCAGTTTGTGTAACAAACTTTTTAGTAAATTATACTGAAAACTGTTGGTATTGCTTGTTTTGTAAAATATCCCTCGCAAATACACACACTTAATTTTTGTAAGGTGTGGTATTTTATATTGTTTCAGTAAGAACGATTTTTACAGAGTTACGTTTTTTCTGTGTACAATAATTTTACAGTAATGTTACTTTGATTTCAATACTTAAATATCATCCTTTTGAAGCATTTGCTTGGTGTATATATGTAAGCGATTGAGAAACAATGTAATTTTATTGAAACTCACTGTTGTTTTTGTTGTTGTTTTTTCTGTTGTTGTTTAACCTTCTTTATTATTAACATACCCTATTAAAAATATATACATATATAATTATATCGTGATATAATGCATATGGCAAAATCATAAAATGTTGCGGACGGTACTGAAAAGTCCAGGTTACGGTCAGCGAATCTTAGCAATGGCTTACGCAACATTTAATATGTGGACATTTTAAGCATCCGCAAATGTGTTCATACGCCGGTTTTCATGAAGCCTTAAATTCATAAGTCAGTGCCATTCCATGAAAAGTGATTCGTCCCCAAGTAAAGAAGTTCAGTTTCTGTCCGATACATGGTCAATCCCAAGTTTTGTGATAAATTGCTTTTAAAAAGAATATCTGAGCATGTCAATTAGGTGTTATTTCTTAAAATTTGAATTGAAAACTTAATTTGAACTCAGAAAATACCCAATGACGTTAACAGCAGGTTTACCATGACCATGTATTTTTTATAATGTGTCTTCATTATTTTTCAGTAATAAGCGTACAGTCTTTAAAATGTTACGTGTGTTCGAGCTGCAACGAGCCTTTCGATAAAAAAGACAGCGATGTCTCAATAGAATCGTGTGCGGGATCATGTCTGAAGGGCGATTATGGGGGTGGTAAGTAATATAAAGATAATAAGACCTATCCTTGGAAACAGACACAATGCACCCAATACAGGCAGTCAGGTAACCATGACCTTTGACTTGCAATAAAGGCATGGTTACTATAAAAAGAGTGTAACAAAACTTTTTTAATATTCTCAGTGTGTCCATTAATTTGAAAACTCATCTATGAAATAATATAAACAAGATCAACAAGGAAAGGCCGCGTTCAATGAACGCAACCCCCACACAACCCAGCAACAAGAACCAGTGGCAAGGATCCCAGGTGGACCCCAAACAAAAGCAGGACAGGGCACAAGACAGAGCACGGACAGGCAAATCACTAAAGTAATAAATAATTTGTAACTGATAAGGAATTCAAAGAAAACAAATAAATGATTAATTTGTAACTGATAAGGAATTAAAATAAACAACAAATAAATGATATTTCCAGACAGAACCATCAGTATATGTACTATCTTCACATTCAAGTATAACCTTTACCTTTCTGTCAACTTTTTCCGTGTCTGTGTTACAGACAAGTTTTCTTATTGAACCCAAGGTAAGCTTGTTAGTTCATAATCCAATAATAAATGACATAGATGACGACTGGAAATGACTGTCAATTTACGTTCATGAAACTATAAATCTTAAATCTAATGTGACCTTGTCCTTTAAGCTACAAATTTGTTCTCACTTATCATAAATTGTGTTCAAGTACCATATGCAACATAAGCAACATTATTACAAAATCCGCCACTAAATGGCAAAAAGATATGGACTGGACCTTAATCTTGCGCATGGAACATTGCCCCAATATGCTTAACAGTCTACACAAAGATCAACTAGGACACTCAGAATTGAAAACTATGAATAAGATGATAAAAACATATACTCAACATTCTATTGGAAATCGATATTTTGTCCAATCTTCAGCCTTCTTTGGTCTGTGTCATTTTGCAAAATCCAAGAAGATGGATTAAGCGAATTATCTGAAATTTCTGAAAAAAGTCATTGGTACAGATCTTAATCAAGCTGTATAAATATATCGAAATCTATTTCCAGTAACGTCGTGTCAAAAGGACCAAAAATTCAAAAATAAGTGTACCAAAAACAAAACATAATGTCGAAGAAGCACAATAGAAACAACCATCAAGAATGTTGAAAAGTCTAGATATTCTCAAAAGCTTAACTGCATAATTTTTATATTTGAAACTTTCATGGATGTCTTGTTAGTTATAATCATACATTCCAAACACAATCACGTTTCATGTATCTGTTGTTAGTGGAGCATAATGATAAATATAATGAAAAAGAAGGAAATTCGTTTTGTTAATAGAATATGTTTTTCCCAATCATGTGATTCAAATACACTCACTTAAGTTATACTTTGGTTAAGATAATTTCATTTCTTAGATTACCTTTAAATTCTAGTGGGCGGTTTTCTTTTTTTTTTTTACTCCCGGCTTTTATTTATATCTATATCTTTTAAGACTTTGTTTTATCATTTTACAGTTGTTGCCAGAGCCTGTTCAGATTACAATTTAGGCGACGTGTGTGCAGATGTGAGCGGAACTCATTCATGTTCGTGTACGTCTGATTTGTGTAACAGTGCGTCTGGAGTCAGTGTCTCATTTCCTGTCGTCTGCATATCAGCTATCATCTTGTTTCTACGGGTGTTCTAAACGAACAGGCGATTTACATACAAAATAATATCCTGTTAGTATTGTTGAAGGATTTTGTCCTATCAGGTGTGTCTTCTTTTCATGTACTTTTAATCTTTTATGATACAACTAGGACATTCGAGAAGAAAGTGTTTGTCATATATGTTACCTATAGCAACATATTTCAAAGCATGACTGTTTTTACTGTCGAAACAAATCGTTTTTGACATAATATATATCATTAATAAAACTTATAAATGTGTTTGTACCCTCCTTCTTTTTATTACCCTCCTGGTTAATATTATTATTATTATATACCACATTTCTATAGCACTATTTTCAGAAATAATAAATGTTCAAGAGTGCTTTACATAAATCTGATAAAACATAATCATATATATATGACACAAGGTACAATATTAATTAAGTAAACCTATTAAACAATAATGATAATCTAAAACCAGTAACGGATGGAAAGAAATACAGACACATTTAGTTTAAAATCAAGGCTCAATTCTAAAAAAAATCCTATAAAAGATTTGAACGAAATAAGATTGTTAAACAAAGTAACAAACAAAAGTAAAAAAGAAACGAATTATAAAGTAAAACCCTAAGACATAAATCAAACACACAATTTACAATGATAATATAGCAAAAGTAGTACATGTATGTTGTTTTATGAAACTAACGTCCATAGAACTTTATGAAATAATGTGTTTTGAGAGTTCTCTTAAAACTTGGCAAGGTATTACAGTCTCTAAAGCCAGGTGGTAACGCATTCCATAATTTCGCTGCGGCTGTCTGGAAGCACCTATCACCATATCGTACTGTCCGAGTTTTAGGCACAACTAATGTCATTGAGTTATTCTGGGACCTCAGATTCCTGACTAGGATGTACAGGTGTATCATGTCTTTTATATAGGCTGGTGATTGATCGATGAGGGATTTATATGTATAAGTCAAAATTTTATATTCGACCCGATACTCTACCGGAAGCCAGTGAAGTTCACGTAAGACAGGTGTCTGGTTGTCTCACGGATGGTTCTGTAGGGCTTGGTGTTGTTTGGGACTTAGTTTCGTGAATGGTGCTCTCCTTTCATTATTTTTTTTATTCACTTAATCATTTTTGTATAAAACGGCAATGTCCATTTTCATAATTATGATCACCATATGTAAGTAAATTTTAATCGGTTTAAGGCATAGCAACAATGTGCATATATTAAAAGGCCCGGCAGTTTTGTTTAGTTTTGGTTGTTTTTGTTTTTGCTTCAAACCAAGTTTAAGCCTGTTCTGTAATGAAACTTAAGCAAGAAAATAGACCTGGATCCTCCAAAATTACAGCAGATGCTTGGGGACCAGATCCAATCCCATCCTTGTTCCGTTCTCATTTTGGACATATTTTGTCTTACATAAATGCCATCAAGATTACCTTTAATGTTATGTTAATAGAAATAGAACCATACAGAAGTAACAAAACAGGCTAAGTGAATTATGCCATACAGAAATAAGTCATGGCAACCGAGGCGTTTGCCGAGCAACTCTCAGCAATTTTCAACTTATGAATCTATTTCAATCATAACATAGAGAAAAAAGGAATATCCTAAAACGGCAAAAATTGAAAATGTTGCAGGCTTGGTTTGATCTCATCCAACCGCAATTTTCACCCAAAACAAGCGATGTCAACCGACGCGTTTTCCGAGTTACCTGCTTAGGGTGCTTTGTGGAATATTAGATTAGATTATATTATTCAAAATCAAGGCATATAATATGCATAGGGGTATAAAATGGTCAGCATCATTTGATGAATAACATTTTTTTTAAAAAATAGATTCAACACTTATTCAAAAATTGATTTACAAAACATTTTCAAATAAAATTATATAAAGAAGAAGAACATTCTTCACAAACAGGTATTTGATTTATCTGTACTTTGTATATAATTTGTCTTCAAAAATACCATCTAGATTTTTATTTATGTTAACAGAACCCTACAAAAGTAACAAAAAAAAGAGAAAATCATGCCATACAGGAGAATAAATTATTTGAAACAATAACTTTGCAGAATAATGCTAGTTTATAAAATTAACATGATTAAGTGGTCAGAGCTTTTTAATGATTTGAGAAATTTGAAACAATAAACTTCTCACGAATAAAAGTTTAAAAAAGATACATTCAAACAAGAAATGAAATTCATCCCCAAGAGATTGTTGCGGACATAAATGACATGTTCTTTCAATATATAAATGTCAACCTTTTATATTGGTAATAAATGGTACATAGTTCTGAACTTAACAAAGTATTTTCCAAAAATTGAAAGGTAATATATCTTAATATTCCTCAAAACAAAAATCTTTCTTATACACGCAATAAATCGAACATTTAGAAGATTAATATATGGTACGTTTTCAATTCTGTAAGAACTGGTCTTTTAATCTGTTTCTTTTTCTCACAATAGCTTTACAATTATTTAAATAACAAATACATTGACTATCAAAATATAGACTGATAAACCTAGCTCATCAAGAGTGTTTTTAACAAATGATATCCAAGGAGAGATCATAACACTATTTACATGTAAAGAGAGAACTGTATTATACAATATATTTCATATTTTATCTTATTTTAAGTTACTAACTTATTCAGTAAGACACTATTCTTGTTTAAACCTGCAGTTCTTATATAAAGGACAAAGTCCTGTTCCACCAGATAGACATTTTCTGAATGAGTAAGAGTTTACAAACACGTAATTGCAGTAGTTCAGAAATTTGCTATACCTCAAACCTCACAATTATATATAATACAATGTACATACAAAAGGTACTTAAGTATTAAAGCCATACACCTGCAATGAAAAATAAAACGTTAAAAAAACAAGGGCCTGTTGAACCGGGTGATGATCCCCGAACAGGTTTCGGAGTTGTGGTGTTGTTGGTAGTTTTCACTCCGGATCAGCCAGAGCACAGTTCAATCACCGCATCGTTCCTGGGCGGGCTGTCAAGCAGTTTACCACTGTTTGCACATTAATTTGTTGATTATGTAGCAGAGAAACAATATAACAAACATTTGTTTTATCTAATTTTAATTGTTTTTATTAAATGGATAATATATTACATGAATAAAAAGATTAGAAATCAATGCGACTATCACTATTGGAGAAAACATCACACAACAATTTCTATTTACTCGCCTGCACGTCTCTTTAGTTAAACAAGACTCGTTTTTTTTATATTTTGATGTTGAAGTTTAAGTGACATTATGCTCATATTTTCATTGTCAAGTTGAGCTGAATTGACTTAATATTTTAAAAGATTGACTGTTTAAATGATGTTTGACCAACAGATTATATTGGGAAATGTTTAGGATAAAATTTTTAATCTGCCTAAAATATAAAAAGACTGCCCCACTTTTTTTATAAATTGAACGTTACAGGTAAATTCAAAATGGTATTTACTGAAATTTCGCTTGAATCCGGTGGTAATTTATTGTTTATGCAAAGTAAATCATTAAAGAAAAAGGAATTATGGCAAAATGAAAATTTACTTTGACTCTCACCTCTTCACTCACTCTCTACCTTTTGATGGGCATAATGTCACCAGGTCACTATCACAAAACATTATTTTGCTGAATGGACTGTTCCAAATTTAAAGCAGAATAAAGTCACGAGGTAAGGGTAAAATGTGACGGTCGACATTGAAATTAAAACAACATGGCTACAATCGATAGCACAGGATATCTATTCCATGTTGAAAGAATACATAATTCAAAACATTTCAGCTAGGCTAGTGTTTCTAGGTGAGGATTATAAAGCAAACGGCCATGAACACACGGTCATCAAATACTATACCAAAGGCCTTCATATTATGTTGAAAATGTTGTAAAATTAAATACTTTAAACTTCGATAAATATGGATACAGGCCGCTTTCTGGAAAAACTGGGTAAAATCAGAGATCGAAAATTTCATTGTCCTCTCGTAAGATTACGAGTAGAATTTAAGAGAACCCGATGCAGGATGAGTAGAGAAATGTTGCACGGACATTGGATTTACAAACTGCTCGTCCTGCAGGACGAGTGACTCTCTGAAAATATTTTATCGATGCCTGAGTTTCTGTTTCAGCCCTGGGAACTGGTCATGTTCCAAAGATAACAGTGAAATTGATGGTTCGTGGATTGAATGACAAAATCACTGACCATTAGGCCACCGCTATCGTCTTTGATAAGCACTTGTGTTAAACATAAACATAAATGTTGTGTATTGGCTGAATTTTTAAGGAAGAAGTCAAACAAGATACCAATGAAAATACGGAAAATATTTTCACTGCAGTGAAAATACGAAAAATGAAAAATACACATATTATTTCATCAATATTTCTCAATATTCCATTTAGATTATGTACAGAGAATTGTTTGTCTCGTTTCGATGTCTCGTCAATACAACAAATCCTTTGTACGGCATTAATATATAAATGGTTACCGAGAAGGAGTACAGAGAAAAAAGATAAATAACACAGAAATATGAATAAACTATGATTAGGAAAATACCTATGAATTGTCCACTGCAAATATTATACAAATATTGACTTTTTAGCTGGTGAATATGATGTGATATGTACTGGAAAAAAACAATATTGACTGAGACGAAAGCCAAGGTCAATGATTTTTTTTCAGTACATATCACATCATATTTACTATCTAGAAAGTACAAATCTGTTTTATTGTATAATCTATATAAGATATCAATTCTCCCATAAATCGGTTTTAATCGGTGCCCAACGTTTGTTGTTGTTGTTGTTTTTTTAGTGTCTGTGTTTTTTTTCAGAATAATAGAAACAAACTTGGCTTGACGTCACGTCATAGCACTCATCTTTTGTGGGCTTTCCATAAAATCTATTTTAGAAGAAGAATAAACTGTTGTGAATATACTTTTATATTGACCTGTTATTTTTTACAAAAACTTGCTTGTAAGCGTATCAGGGAATGGCATTCAAAGCTTTTTATAGATTATATAGAAGTAAAATGCCCCTTTATCGTTGTATTTTTGTGGAGAGTGCACTTTTTATCATCGTTCATTACTTCAACAAAACTAATGCGAGGAAAGACATTATACATGTTATAACACTAATAAGTGAAATGTTTCTTTTGCCGGATCCGTTACATAAATCCGTGGAGCAAAAACAGGTTTCTTTGCCTTCTACCTTGTTACAATTGTCGTCAAGTGAGACACCAGATGGCAAACCAATACAATGCCTCTGTACATCTGTTGAAAAATGTACATCTGTTGAAAAAAAGAATAAAATTTAATTAATTTTTTGTTAAGGTTAACCCTTACAATGTATAAACCGGAAATGATAAATCTTTTGTTATCAGTATAAGAACCATATCACGCAGCCATCCGTGTAGTCTAATAAGGTTCTATTTATAGCTCAATTATTGTAAATCCTTTAAAGGGACTTCACTCAAGTCCAAACGCTTAAAAACATAAAATCTGAAATTCTTACATAGACGAACTTGGACACTACCAAGAGGATGATAGGGAAAGATAATTTACAAAATTTGATAGACTGAGAAATAAATTGAAAATCGCATTTGTGCTGTTATTGATATCCCGATTGGATTTAGTGCATAAAATGGTAGACTTATCACGAAATCTATTTATGACGAATAACTTCAGTGGAGTCCCTTCGACTGCTCCGAAGTAAAAGCAGAGCAAATACGAGTACATTTCATAAATTCAACATGATGAGTTACAAATATTTATTTCCTTGCCGTAACGAATTTCAATACCATTGACAATACTAAAGCTGTGGCTACTTTTATTTACTATGACGTAGTGAAAGGGGAAGTAACTCCAGTCTAGTTCGTGTGTGCCTAAAAAAAAGATTGGAGCACAACACTTAATTCCGTATTTCGGTACATACCGGACAAGACGCTTGAATAATTAAATGCTAAAATATCGCCTTTTCACCTTACGGAATGAACTTTAAAAGGTCTAATTCATCTTTTCACATCGATTTATGTTTGGTAATGAATGAAAAATGTCATACCAGCGAAAAAAAGATATGTGTCTATTTTGATCTCAAAATATTAGGTGTTATAGACTGGTCATATGTGTCCGGTAGGACATATAGGTCTTGGACAAAGGTCTATCGTTTTAGAAACGAATCAGTATGTTAATATGGCTATTCCTTTTTGGAAAAGTGTCTTTAAATGTAAGAAACGGGTCTGTCTTGTTACAAATCGATCTTAAGGCTACTACTTAAAACGGGGTTTAACCAGTACAACCGTACCCTTCCAGTTACAAACAGTTAATCAATATTAAAAACAGGTTATTACAAAGATTTCTTTGACATTGGGGTTGGAAGGAGGGGATTCCCCTGTTGGAGAAACATGTCCTCCTATTGACATTTCATGTACGGAGTGAAATTCCCCAAGGTACATGTATGACTAGTCGGACTGTGGGTGAGCCACGTTTTAAGCTATATAAGAGCAACAACATATTACAAAATAACATATTTCATAAATACAACATATGGCACCGTCTTACAATTATGTTGTCAACGTAGCATTTTGTTGCCGACATTACACACTGGTATATAACAATGACGGTATATTTGAAAACAAGACTGTTAAGAGAAAAAGTTATTTTACAATAATCAATCTTATTCTAAAGTTTTCTGTTTTGCTGTACGCATGTTCAGTACCCTCTAGGGGTTTAACACTATTGGAAGGTAGAGAGGGAGGGAGAACGGATGGTTGGATGCCCACGTATCCAGGGTTTATTACTGTTTGAAGGGAGGGAGGGAGGACGGATGGATGGGTGTATACTTACCAGCGACGGTTTGGACATAATAAGGATTGACGGATGGATTGATCAATGAATCTTTTCTTTTCCTTTCCTTCAGACAACTTCCGTTACAGGATATTTGTACAGCTTGGCTTTCGTCAAACGGATCCCCACACCCATCTCCATTGCAGGTGTAACACGTAACGGCCAGTACATATGTAACTGTATTACAAAAAAAAAATATATATATATATATAAGTATATATAAAAAGAATAATTATTTGCCTAAATTTGATCTAAATCGTGCAAACCTATTATATCACCTACACAAAGTTTTCGCATTTTGTTACACAATTAAGCATGTTTGTAACGTCGATATTAACTATGACGTTTATACTGACGTGTAAAGGCATGGTTGTAACAAATTTATGAAATAATTCTCAACCATTATCAAAGAAATTAATTCTTAAATACCCATGTTTTATAGAAAAAATTGTTTGAATTATATAGCCTTGTGCAAAAGTGTGTTTAATATAAAACCCTTGCCCGGTGTCTCTGGTTATATAACCTTACATACGTTTTTACTACGTCATATTTCCCAGGCAAATGTCTTTATTACCATTTTATTACTGACGATATTATAGAATTTATATCATGCGTTTTATTTGGGTATCAAAAGCTATGTCAAGCATATTGTTGTATAAACTATTGTTTGTACCAAGGGAATTTAAAAAAAATAAGGAAAATTATGCGTTATAAACTTAAATACTTATTATTATCTAAATTTCAAATTATAGATAAAGCTCTAGTCGGTTTATATGTATGAACACAATTAAGGTCCTCAAATGTCGAGTGAATATAAGGTCATTAACTTCAAACCACTTGTCCCCGATCGCTATGGATTCGAGCTCCATCAGGCCCATAGTCTCTTTCGTGTGACTTAACTATTCAGGTCTGCTCGTGTCGAAAATTGTGCATAAAAGGACACCCGGTGTATGACCCCAAGGGTAAAAACTACCACGAAGAGTCGCCAATATACATTCTTTATATAAAATACTGGCTGGAGAACCCGTGCATTTTTTTCTTTGGCACGGCGGAATATATTCGGGTTGATATATCGTCAATATTGTTTTAAATATTAAATGGATTTTTCACAAATTAAATGACAAAATCAGGAAAAGAAAGTATATAAGTTCTCTTTAGTTCTTATCCCCTTTCAATTATAGGTAAAAATTAAATACATATAAATGTAATAAGTGATGAAATATTAAAATAAATGTGCACTTAAATGAATAAATCGCATTTATAAAACCAACGAATCAAGTATTTTGCGGCTAATGACAACTTTGTATACTGCCTCTCGAAGTTTTCATCATTTTTTTCCAAAACGATTTAGTTAAACAGTCCATTCTTACGGAACCACGGCGGTTCTACTCAGGTGCCTGTTTGTGCCCGAAATAATGCACGGAAGAGCACATGTAAAGCTGAAACGTCGCCATATGACAAAACAAACAAAATAATATATATGCATACTCGCTAAAATATTCCTAAAATTGAAATTCTATATTTTTTTTCTTACCGGTTGCAGCTATAACCAAAAGCCTGAAATACCAAAGAGATACGTGATGCATTTTTTTTTGTATTATGAACACCGTGAAAGTTAAGTTACAACTGAGTACGAAAACAATGTTTTCTGTTTAAACTACTTTGATTGGCCCACTTCATGCACTTATCCACCCTCTTCACAAGCGGATTTGTCTACAGTGGGCACATTTCCAATATTTTTATTTTTTTTTTAAAAATTGATAAAAACAGTAGAAATGTATCATTTGGATATTGTTATAAAAGAAGTATTTGAAACAAAAATGTTGATATACTATTAAGTGAATTAGAATGAACATTTCTATATGATGAATTATAATGTTTTTTTCTATTGCGACATCGAGTGATGTTTTGTTTGTTTGTTTGTTTCATTTACGCCTTTTCCCTACAGTATTTCAGTCATATAGGCGGGTAGTTTCCTAACCATCGTTCCTGGAGAGTTACACCAGTACAATACTACCTTCCTCCGCGCTAAACTACCAAAGCATCTCCCAGGGGTCGAACCCACGTCAGAGAGGTGACTGGATTAGAAGTCATCGACTCTAACCCCTCGACCACGGAAACGTTTGTCCTAAAAAATGTCGAGGCCGTAAGACAAGGAATAATATCATACTCCTTATAACCCAGTGACTAACGAGTTTCATACTATCACAATTTCATAACGATTTTTTTTTTGTAACACAAATCAGTAAAATGTTTATATGTCCAGTGATTTTCCTCTCTTGTGCCCTTTTACTTTTGTGTAAAATGTAAACGATAGAAAATATTAACCAATATCTGCTAATTAATCTATGTTTTTTTGTTACTGGTGATGATGATGATGCTGCTGATGATAATGCTGATGATAATGAAGAAGAAAATGATGATGATGATGAAGAAGAAGAAGCAGAAGACTAAGAAGATGATGATGATTATGATGATGATGAAAAATAAGATGAAGGATAAGGATGATAAGGTGATAAGGTGATCCTTAGGTGATAAGGATGATGAGATATTGTTATTGTTTTTTTATCGTTTTTCTGATGATCATCATCAGAAAAATCACCATCATATTCATCATTATTTAAAAAATCACCAGGTCCTTCATCATCAGAACATCATCACCCCCATAATCATCATCAAAAAATTATCATCACCCTCACCTTTAATGGAAAGTCATCTGCATCAGTATAATTGAAATCAATACAATCGGCGCATGTATCATCATCATGATCATCAACGCATGTATCATGATGATGATGATGATTATGATGATGATGATGATGCTGAATGATGATTATGATGATGATGATGAAAAAACTCATGAAAATACTCATTAAAATACTCATGAAAATACTGAAGAAAGTGACGATAATTATAAATTTTTGATGATAATGATGAAAGATGAATATTTTTTTAATTAATGAAGATTTGATGACGGTGATAGATTTGATAGTAATAATAAATATAGTTACGATGATGATGATTGTGATGATGATGATTATGATGATCTAAACGATTTTGATGCTGATGGATGTCAGGATAATGATAATTTTGATCATTGATGATGATGATTATGATGATGGAAGAGGTGATAATTTTGATGATGATTATTGAGGTAATAATGATTTGATGATGATGACGACGATGACGACGACGACGATGATAAAGATGATGATGATGATGGAAATGATATTGATACATGCGCCGATTGTATTGATTTCAATTATACTGATGCAGATGACTTTTCATTAAAGGTGAGGGTGATGATAATTTTTTGATGATGATTATGGGGGTGATGATGTTCTTATGATGAAGGACCTGGTGATGTTTTAAATAATGATGAATATGATGGTGATTTTTCTGATGATGATGTTGATGATTATGTTGATGAAAGTGATGATTGTCATGACTTTGCTGATGAGCTCTATGCAACTTGACAACTCTCCTTTGGCTGATAAGAACAGAAAAAACACAAAAATGACATCAATTATAGGCCTACATTAAATCTTTTTTAAAATTTTTAAATCTTTTTAACGTGTCATGTACGGCTAACATACACAGTATTTTTTTTTTACAATTACATACACTTTTAAACGGAAAAGCAATTGTGCCAGGTGTATGTTTTTTATTAACTCGAAATTTCGACTTACTTACGCGAAATTTTGACTTACTTACTCGAAATTTCGACTTACTTACTCGAAATTTCGACTTATCAACTCGAAATTTCGACTTACATTGCACGACTTTCATTGGTTGCCGATGAAAGCAAGGATTGAATTCAAGATACTTTCTTTCGTGTGTAGCTGTTGCACATTGACAGAGTACCTATGTATTTAACAGAACAATTTAATAGGGCCAAATTGTCCACACATACTGAACATATTCTTCGCTTTTTTGTGGAAGGGGGGGTGTAAAATCACACTTTCCACATTTCCGTGTTAAGCGGATGTTTCTTTTTCTAAAGCACACATACAACCATCATGTGGAGATACAAATCCCCAAAACCCATCCTATTGTTAACTGTGCAATATTCATGTGTTTAAAAAGATTTAAATGGCATGTATACGCCATTTAGTCTATCACGTTTCTATATACTAATAATGTTTATGTAACATTATTCATTATTTACTAAGACTTTGATTCATAGTGTGTTGATAAAAGTTGATAAAAGTGGAACTGGTTGTTATATACATGCTGGGAATAATATAAAAGCATCCGATTTTACAAGAAATATAGTCAGCCAAACAAATTTGACAAAGGCCACAGCACGCCCTATTTTGGCCACTCCGCGATACTTTCCTCAGATGTCCCACACGTGAAGTATATGATCGTTTTATTCGCAGGGATGAGAAGAATATGATTAGTGAGGAGATATGTTCGAACAGGTTGGATACAATACAACGTCTGAAGAACGATAGAACGCACAAATTAAAGGAAGCCTTGTGTTTTTTAGGTCGGGCGTGTACATGCCATTACTAAAAATAGAGAAAAACAGAACCCCTGAAGAACGCCCAACACGACAAAATTGTAAAATGTTGCAGGCTCGGTTTGATTGAGCATGTTCATGGACGGTACTGGAAAGTGCAAGTTACCGTGCACGCCCCCAAGCACCGGCTTAAGCAGAATTCAACATTTAAACATGAAATAGTAAAATTTTGAATTTAGAAACATCTACAGATGTGCTCATACGGCAGTTATCATGGAACCTCCAATGTGACACATCCGTGCCATTCCATGAAAAGCGGCGTGTGGTCCCCAAGTAATAAAAAGCGTGTGCCCTTAACGAGAAAACAATGGGCGGAACTAATTAAAATGGAATTTTGAAAGGGGATCAGAGGTTATGAAGCCTGCATATCACAGATAAGACGTCAAAAAACACATTTAAAAAGCAGGCAACATATCCTAAGGGTGATTCAACATTATTCAAGTAGGAATATTGGAACCACCCAACTAGAAAATGCCGAAAAGTTGAAACTAAAAATACCACAAGCACAACAATTATGTCGTGCTGAACGATCATCAAGGATCAAAAATATAACATCATTGATTAAATGTACGGGGAGACTTTTTACAGCCGCCACACGGCTCAAATAACAAGGATGTGACAATGAAATAGAGAAAAACAGAATCCCTGAAGAACGCCCAACACGACAAAATTGTAAAATGTTGCAGGCTCGGTTTGATTGAGCCTGTTCATGGACGGTACTGGAAAGTGCAAGTTACCGTCCACGCCCCCTAGCACCGGCTTAAGCAGAATTCAACATTTAAACATGAAATAGTAAAATTTTGAATTTAGAAACATCCACAGATGTGTTCATACGGCAGTTATCATGGAACCTCCAATGTGACACATCCGTGCCATTCCATGAAAAGCGGCGTATGGTCCCCAAGTAATAAAAAGCGTGTGCCCTAAACGAGAAAACAATGGGCGGAACTAATTAAAATGGAATTTTGAAAGTTGATCAGAGGTTATGAAGCCTGCATATCACAGATTAGACGTCAAAAGACAAATTTAAAAAGCAGGCAACATATCCTAAGGGTGATTCAACATTATTCAAGTAGGAATATTGGAACCACCCAACTAGAAAATGCCGAAAAGTTGAAACTAAAAATACCACAAGCACAACAATTATGTCGTGCTGAACGATCATCAAGGATCGAAAATATAACATCATTGATTAAATGTACGGGGAGACCTTTTACAGCCGCCACACGGTACAACTAACACGGATGTGACAATGAAATAGAGAAAAACAGAATCAGTTTAAGTTTAACTTTAATAGTTTGTCCAGGCACCCGTTTCTCCATCTCACTTGTTCAACCACACACCCTGCTATATCTTATATTATCTAAACTCTTGGTAACTCATAACTTTGGCCATTCTAGAAATGTTAATCAGTCGAAATATCGAGTTACTAACTCGAAATTTCGACTTACTATGCGAAATTTTGAATAAGTAACTCGAAATTTCGAGTTAATAAAAAAACATACACCTGGCACTAATGCTCTTCCGGGCACTAATGCTCTTCCGTACTTTTATGATAAAATATCCTTCTGTATATTTAATATTCTCTTCAATTGTTTCTATTGTTCCAGTATATTTCGCTCTTACTATAAAATTACCGTGTACTTGAAACGAGAATAAGAATGCGGTTTTAACATTAGATGATCTGAGGAGACACAAGTATATACAAGTTGTTGAATATAAATAATATAATTTATCATAACCATTTTTTTCCCTGTAGCATCTGACTTTATATGACTGTTTAAAAAGCCACAATTTAATGACCTTGTTGTATGGTTGACTGTTGGCCAAAATAAAAAATATGTCTGGTTCCGACCGACCGACACTATTTTTTAACGCCGACCCTAAACTTTGTTTTTTTTATTTTGGGTACGAAAATTCTTGGGTACGAAAATTACAAATGTGAAAAATTTGTTTTACGATGCCTGTTGAAATAGCCGATGAATGACAATCTTAAAATAATCAAAAAATATTAAATCTTATATGATCAAAATCATCAACAAGTAGAATTGTGAATGTTTCTGCAGGAAACAGACACATTTTCAATTGTCACATATTTTCGCGATGCCGGCACAGTGTTGGGATAGTGTAAAAAAAAAGTAATTCCAGAAAAAAAAAATATTTTATATATAATATATTATAAATACAGTATATATTTTTTTTAGAATTACTTTTTTACACTATCCCAACACTGTGCTGGGTCCCTGTGAGGGTGGGGGTGTAAGAAAACAGCATCATGGTCTGATGATGTATGTTTTTGAAATTATATTTCAAATCTTTTCAATCACTTTTAAGGTACAGTGTTTTCCATTTGGGGCATATTACCATTTTCCTGAATAAGCTAAAATCTGACTCCCCAACCCCTTACTCTGCTATACATCATATTTGTCAACTGCATATAAGTGCAGCAAAGGTGGCTTAACATATTCAATGTGATCTGGAACTCCTATACTTTTTTGTGCTTGGGAGTCCCAAGACTCCTTCTTTGTGAGAACCCTGCAACTGTTGGCACCAGTTGCACATATATATATATATCTATAGACTTGCGCCCCCTGAAGACCATTTGAATATGTTTAATATTAAAATTATATATAGCTGTGTTATTTTGGTCCCCGGAATAGTGCATGTCAGATGCTCTAAGCTTATAATACAGCATTATTATTAACTTGTTACAGAGGTGACCCTTGATCTTTTAATTGTCAGACCTGTCAGATGCAGGTTAGCATATAGTACAGCGGGTGATTCAAAGGGAAAGGGTACATAATAAGCAGAATAGAAAGCAAATTAGTATGAATACAGGTCACCTACATGGTTAAATGACTACATACAAGAAATAAACAACACAATATCACATGCTGATAGTTTATTACAAAATGGTGTTTGCATTGATTGATTACAATCTTTGTTTAAGTATGTTAAGCAAGCAACACATCTATATACTGATAAGACATTCTCCCAACCAAAAAAAAATCCTACCCTCCTAATTTTTTGGACCAATGTTTCCTGAACCAGACATATTTTTTTTGGCCTTGTGCAGTTGGATCAGGAAAATGTAAAATATATATTAAAGATTTATAAGTGCCCGGTAATAGATCTAACTTTGTATCATTTATCATATATCAGATAGAAAATCGTACCTTGACTTTCTTTTGAGGTCATATCATATTATAAGAGCATAAAGTGGCCTTCAGCTTTTATTTTCTGTTGGAATAAAACAATTCTGTATTGTTTCAAAATAAATATTTAAGTAACTTTATCTTGGAAAAGGGCATCATATCACCGAAAGCCTGCTTTGAGAGCTTTTATTACGCGACAGTGATGTTCATTTCTAAAAAAAGAAGAGCGTCCGCTTTACTTAATTAAATATAGAGAGCGGACCAGTAGATTAGAGATTTCGAGGGGGTTCCTTATCGTTTATATATTTTATCGTCGGCAGATTTCATATTCCTCCTTAATTCTTTTTTTATTTGACAACTATTTGGAACAAATAATCTAAAAATAACATATTGAACCTTAAGAAAAGCCGAAGGCCGCTTTAACAACGTACAAGGAGTCGGTATCATTTATTGTTCCTGTTGTGTTAAACAATGTATAAGTAAGAAACTAAATGAAAATTATTCATCAAGTGTTTATGGTTTCTGTTTAAGCTTTTAAATAGTAGGGATGCTAATAAAAATAATAAACGAGAGGCCAAGGGCAAGGGACAACTTATAATATACATGTAGCTGTTTACTAACATTTAATTTTCTCTTATTTATCTAAATAATATGTAGATTTTCTGAAGTTTCATCCTATCAAAGTTACAGTGTGGTTCAATAGTTGACAGTTCAACCTGGAAACTGATTTTATAAATGCTATAAACTCCTATCAACAAGCCTACGTTTGGCCTAAATCGTCAGTAGAAAGTCTCTATGCTGAAGCAGGAGAGCTATCCCATTATCAACCAGAACAGAATATTTGTTGTTACCATGCATCTGAATGTTTAATCAAACTAGGACAAAGCTGTATTAAAACAAACTTCATGATATCAACACGGTCTTGTTTAACCCTTCTACTTTGCAAAACCATGACTGACTATATTTTCTGTATGATGAACGGCCCTAAAATTTTGCCAAAATCCTCACAGTGATTTGATTTGCTTCGCTTAAATCACTGCTTTTCACAAGCTTCACGTGGTCATTGAAAACGTCATATGACATCAAAATAGAGGCTACTAAAACTACCCCACAGGAAACTGTTATAGTCATGATATTTCGTTTTTTTAATGAAAAACTGACTTTTTACTTCCCTTTACCGCGAGGTAAAATGATGGCAGACCTTAAATATTCCTTGATCTTGGGATGATCTGTAGGCTGACCTCATACTTTCTATAACCTTGGGATAAACTGACGACTGTATACTTTTCTTGGTCTAAGAATAGAATGACAGCTAACCATATATATTTTACTTGACCGAAAGATAAAATGATGACTGACCTTGGGATAAAAGGACGGCAGACTTTATATCTTCCTGGACCTTGGGATAAAATAAGGGGAGACCTTTATTATACTGGACCTTGGGATAAAATAAGCGGATACCTTTATCTTCCTGGACCTTGGGATAAAATAAGTGGAGACCTTTATCTTCCTGGACCTTGGGCTAAAATCAGGGGAAACCTTTATAATGGTATGAAAATAAATATTTCATGAATGGCGGTAGCCACGTGTGAGAGATGATAATTTTCATACCACAAGATGAAAATAAATCCTGTATACTAGTATTTATAGACAGAAAACTAGAATGTTCTGTTAAGTATATATACATTTTTCTCTTTTTGACATTTCAGCTCAAATGTTGTGTATTGGCTGAATTTATAAGAAAGAAGTCCAACAAGATACCAATGAAAATACGGAAAATATTTTCACTGCATGAAATATATTTTTTTTACAGTGAAAATTAAAAACTAAAAATACACATTTTATTTCATCAATATTTTTCAATATTTCATTTAGAAGTGTATAACAGATAGTATTTATTCACATATAAATTATGTACAGAGATTTTTTTGTCTCGTTTTGATGTCTCGTCAATACAACAAATCTTTTGCATGGCATAAATACATAAATGGTTACAGAGAAGGAGTATAGAGAAAAAAAGATAAATAACAAAGAAATATAAATAAACTATGATTAGGTAAAAACGAATTGTCCATTGCAAATATTATACAAATGTGAACTTTTTAGGTGGTGAATATTATACAAATATTGACTTTTTAGCTGGTGAATATGATGTGATATGTACTGGAACAAAATAATATTGACTGAGACGAAAGCCAAGGTCTATGATTTTTTTCGGTACATATCACATCATATTAACCAGCTAAAAAGTACAAATCTGTTTTATTATATAATTCATAAATCGTTTCTACATGGGATATGAAATCTCCCATAAATCGGTGTTTTTTCAGCTTGTCAATTTATTCCATAATTTGGCCCTGTATTTAAATGCGATTCTTGCATAGCAGACTGGCGTTTCCGTTAGTTTTACCCATGCCGGAAATTTCATCTGGCATGGGGGGTTCCAGATGAGTCGCGTGCTGTACAATGGCACGCTTAGGATGACGTCATTTTACCGTTATGAATGAAGTTGCAATTTCATACGCTGTTGTAAGAAAGTAGTAACGGTTGTCATGATATAAATTTCTATTGAAAATAAAGATAAAGAATTTAAAATATAATGGAATATGGTAGAATATGCAAGAAAAATATCTGACATATGTTTGCGGTTCGGATCGGAACATCCGTCCCTCGGTTACCCGCCCATGGGCGGTAACTCGGCAAGCCTCGTTACCGCCCAATGGGCGGGTCACCTCGGGACGGATATTCCGATCCGAACCGAAACATATGACAGATATTATTATTCTTAATAATTCATTTAATAATGTAAAGACGGTTCAATGTACCTAAAATAGACTAAATTGATATGTTTTGCAAGTTGCCCAACGTTTGTTGTTGTTGTTTGATTTTTTTGTGTGTGTTTTTTTTTCCAGAATAATAGAAACAAACTTGGCGTGACGTCACGTCAAAGCACGCGTCTTTTGTGGGCTTTCCAAACAAATCTATTTTTAGAAGAAAAAAACGGTAAATATACTTTAATATTGACCTGTTATTTTTACAAAAACTTGCTTGTAAGCCTATCAGGGAAAGGCATTTCGAAGCTATTTATAGATTATATAAAAGTAATATACACCTTTATCGTTGGATTTTGTGGGAAGTAAACTTTTTATCATCGTTCATTACTTCAACAAAACAAATGCGAGGAAAGACATTATAACACTAATTAGTGAAATGTTTCTTTTGTCGGATCCGTTACATAAATCCGTGGAGCAGAAACATGTTTCTGTGCCTTCTACATTTATACACTTGTCGTCAAGTGGGACACCAAAACTTTCCATACAATGTCTCTGTACATCTGTTCAAAAAAGAATAAAATTTATTTAATATCTTGTTAAGTTTAACCCTTACAATGCATAAACCGGAAGTGATAAATCTTTTGTTATCAGTATAAGAGCCATATCACGCAGCCAATCGTGCAGTCTGACAAGGTTCTATTTATAGCTCAATTTTTGGAACTTCTATAAAGGACTTTCACTCAAGTTCAAACGCTTAAAAACATAAAATATTGAAATCTTACATATTAGACGAACTTGGGCACTACCAAGATGATGATAGGGAAAGATATTTTACAAAATTTGATAGACTGAGAAATAAATTGAAAATCACATTTTTGTGCTATTATAGTAATAGCCCGATTGGATTGAAATGCATTGGAACGCCTTTCAATTTTCTGTCATGCTGCACAAATGGAAAATAAAGTAATTGGTGTAGACGTATATAAAATGGTTCACTTATTACGAAATCTATTTATGACGAATAACTTCAGTTGAGTCCCTTTAACCGCCGAAGTCAAAGCAGAGCAAATACGAGTACTTTTTTATAAATTCAATATTATTATGACTTACAAATATTTATTTCCTTGCCGTACCGAAATTACAATAATTACCTTACTATTGACAATACTAAAGCTATGTAACAAGTTAGTGGCTGCGTTTATTTACAATGATAACATGTCTTTCCTATTCATTCGTACCATAGGAACTTGAAATTCTATCAGTATTAATGATAATATCCAAAATATACCCCCTATACAGTATAAATAAACATAAGGAAAGAAACGCCTTTTCCCCACCCCAACATAATTTACGCCGAACAACTCAATAAAACAACGGATCAAAATAATCTATAGGGCCATTTCGATAAACAATACATAAATGTATCAAATACCACAGATAACTGTTTTAATCGTGTAGCTTTGTAGGAATAATTCAACGTTTTCTGATTATTTCCCACAATCTCAGTTTGTCGCCGACTCCACTCCATTCCTTGTGTTTATTTATACTGTACAGTATAGGGGGTATATTTGGGATATTATCATTAATATTGATAGAATTTCAAGTTCCTGTGTTCGTACCAAACTCCTTACAGTGATTACCTCCCTTGGCAGAATTGTAATCGCTGCCGTCACATGACGTAACGTCGAAATTCAAATATAATTAACCTTTAGCTCTTCAGCGCTTCTTATGTAAAATTCTTCCAAGTATAATTTCCAATAACCGTAAATTATACCATACCCAGACTATGGTATAATTTTCAGTTTTGAAGATAGAAGTAAGAGTAAGTGTTTCTGGGCGGAGCTATAGGTTAAAACAGATACACCATTGGTGCGTTGACGATTTCTGGGTTTGCTTAAATTATACCATAATCACGTGACCTTTCTTATGCAACCTCACGAGACGAAGTCGAGTGAGGTTGCATAAGAAAGGTCACGTGATTATGGTATAATTTACGCAAACCGAAGTCGAGTGAGGTTGCATAAGAAACAGTGTGGCAATACCACGTGACATTGACGTCATTTTCGGCATCATTTCCAAGACAAATGTTGCTCGATTCGGAAAAGAAAATAGCCGTAAATATTTTATTTTTATTTCTGTACCAATTTCTTTGGGATATGCACCAGTCTACGGGGGAAAATATAAGCTTTCCATAGAATATTGGATCTTCGTCAGTATATAAGCCGTTTTATCAAACACTTTGCCTAACCTTGGAAGTTGCTTGTTTTAGAGCGGGCTTCAGTTGCAAGCTATTTCGTTTTCTGGCGTTATCTGGTCTTACGCCATGATTAAAAAGTCAGGTTTACATCAACCGGGAGTACGGAAGGCAAAACTCTACCTAAATATGTTCATTTTTTTTATTATGAATGACATAAATCTTACATTTTTCTTCAATTGTCAAATCTGGCACCAGTTCCAAGTCGAAAAAAAGGACTACAGTTTAAAGCCGATTTTAGAATCCGTTGCAAATGCGAAGCAACATGCCTACCGTTCTCTTTCTATAATTATGTTAACCATGAAAAACTTTTTATTTTCTATACAATTTACATAAACACAAATGAATATTTAAATAATTTTTCCTCGCTGCGATATTTAAGTGATTTTAAAAGTAGTAAAATTGTTGTCTGTACTGCAGTATTTGTAAAGAAATTGATTTACTCTTTAATCATTGTTCTTTCACGGTAATGATTATGAAACATTTATTTGTGTCATGTAGCAATACTAAACATGGAATAGAAAACAGAAACCCTAAATTTCCCCTAAAACGGCAAAAATTGAAAATGTTTCAGGCTCTGATTGACTTAGCTAGCCTGTCCAATGAACGTGCACATTCCGGATCACTTCGATTTGTATGCTGTAAAAAGGGTTACGCCTCGACGCGGCAATTTTAAAGTCAAAGGTTATTCTTTTGTAAAGAGCCTTTGTATATATATAAAGAACCTGTAGCAATCTTTTAGTATGATAAATTAAGCTTTTTAACACAGTGGCACTCGTTGATAAAAAATATTTTTATATCCTGTTTTCATACCCACGGTAACCGTTTTTCGTGAACTGGATATAACTTCGTTAACATAAGAACACTATTAAACACTATCTATTTTATAATTGCATTTATTTCTGTTGATGAACTGCATATCTGACAAATTTAGTTAATTATATCAGTCAACTCAGCTTTATCAGAGAGCTCACCAATATACATTGTAAAGAGAGGAAGGGAACGGAATTTTGTGGTTTGAAAACATTTAAATCGAGTAGAACTTTTTTAACAATAATGTCTCTTTCAACTGAATAAAAACGATAGGGCTATTTGGGACTATTTCTTATCGATGTGGCCATTGGCTGTAAATGCATGGATTATTGCACGCGGCATGACCTGCAAATGTCCTAAACAGGCTTTTTGTAGCATTTTAAGATTAAAAAAAGGATCGCACATTAAAATCTAAAACATGATAAACGTGACGCATATACTAAATAAGTGAATTATCTGATATGTAAATAAAGAAGTAAGTCATTTGACAGTTGAAGGATAAGAATTGAAATTACTCTTCAAATGTAATCGTAATTTTACTAAGCTTATGTTAGCTATCAATTATTCAATGGACGCATCAGTGGCATATGGACCCCAGTCATAGATCTTGCCGATGTTGCTATTACAGATGTTAATGTAAATATTTATATAATTATTGATAATCATTGTTATTTCCGTCTTGTTGAATGCTTTGTTTCAAGAAATTTGATTTTGATCGATGGATGTTGGTTTGTAAAATCATTTATCTGTTAACTATTTTCTACTTTGTTTACTCCACATGGCGTCCATTCTCGTTCTTATTCATGGCTATTTTGGGTCTTTTTGATAAATAGAGAATTATAAGTAATGCAACTAAGTAACAATTCTATCAGATTTACAAGGCAAAGTTCCAAGTTCAAATTGTGTTTTAGTTTATCAAACTCTATAGAACTTTATTATACAACAATTCCAGAAAAATATATACCTTTTAAAAGTCTCTCTTTTGAGGACAGAAGAACCTGTTCGTCACATTCACGAGTGTCAGTGTTTGTCAGAATAAACTGAAAAAATACCTTTAGCTTAACAACACTCGCGTTAAAGTGTAACCCTTATATCATACAAAAGTGTTTTTATATTAACTCTTTCTCTCACTGAGAGCACATATATTTCTTATCAATTTCGCCATTGTGAAATAGAATAAAACACATTTAACTACATAGGAAAAGATGAGCAATACTTTAAACATCTTCAAAACGAAACCAAACATTATTTTCCGACAGGACTAAATCTACGTGATTTGACGTGCACTATTGCGATACAAGTAAGTGTTGTTGCTTTAAGGAACAATCAGTTTTTTCATAATCTCTCTGTGAAAGATCAACAATGAAAAACTAAATTGTAGAAAGAGAACGGTAGGCATGTTGCTTCGCATTTGCAACGGATTCTAAAATCGGCTTTAAACTGTAGTCCTTTTTTTCGACTTGAAACTGGTGCCAGATTTGACAATTGAAGTAAAATGTAAGATTTATGTCATTCATAATAAAAATATGAACATATTTAGGTAGAGTTTTTCCTTCCGTACTCCCGGTTGATGTAAACCTTACTTTTTAATTATGGCGTAGACCAGATAACGCCAGAAAACGAAATAGCTTGCAACTGAAGCCCGCTCTAATACAAGCAACTTCCAAGGTTAGGCAAAGTGTTTGATAAAACGGCTTATATTATGACGAAGATCCAATATTCTATGGAAAGCTTATATTTTCCCCCGTAGACTGGTGCATATCCCAAAGAAATTGGTACAGAAATAAAATATTTACGGCTATTTTCTTTTCCGAATCGAGCAACATTTGTCTTGGAAATGATGCCGAAAATGACGTCAATGTCACGTGGTATTGCCACACTGAGAAAGGTCACGTGATTATGGTATAATTTACGCAAACCCAGAAATCGTCAACGCAGCAATGGTATATCTATTACATATCGACCGTTGCATAGAAAATCTAACGTTATTTTTCTCTATCTGTTTTATTTTTAACTGTACGTATTTACGTTTGTTATAGTTTATCAAAAAATTATCAAAAGTATACAAAATCATGAAAAATAAATTCAAAATCTAAAAAATATAAAATATCAAAATATTGGATCTCTGTACTGATAAGGGGAGATCACTGCGTAGGAGGTTGCATTCGTTCATGTACGGAATATACATTACCCAAGCTATGACTAGTCGGAATGTGGGTGAGCCACGTTATAAGCTATAACAGCAACAACATATTGCAAAATAACATATTTCATAAATACAACATATGGCACCGTGTGACAATTATGTTGTCAAAGTAGCATTTTGTTGCCAACATTACACACTGGTATATAACCATTACGGTATATTGAAAACAAGACTGTTAAAAGAAATAGTTCTTTTATAATTACCAATCTTATTCAAAAGTTTTCTGTTTTGCTATACGCATGTTCAGTACCCTCTAGGGGTTTGACACTATTGGAAGGTAGAGAGGGAGGGAGGACGGACAGACGGTTGCCCACGTACCTGCCAGGGGTTTTAAACTGTTTGAACGGAGGGAGGAAGGACGGCTGGATGGATGGATGTATATTAACCAGCGACATATCAGTTTTGACATTATTAGGAGATGTATTTGCGGATGGATTGATAAATGGATGAATGGATGTATTTATCGATTGATAGATCAGTGGATGGATATTTTGACCGAATCTCGTTAGAATGTAATGTAGTATTATGACGTCATTTGTGTCATACTTACTATCGTTTTCAATACCCTTCAGACAAGTTCCGTTACAGGATTGTTGTACAGCTTGGCTTTCGTCAAATGGATCCCCACACCCATCTCCAACGCAGTTGTAACACGTAACGGCCAGAACATATGTAACTGTATTACAAAAAAATATATATATAATTATGCCTAAATTCGATCTAAATCGTGCAAACCTATTATATCACCTACACAAAGTTTTCGCATTTTGTTACACAATTAAGCATGATTGTAACGTCGATATTAACTATGACGTTTATACTGACGTGTAAATCCATGGTTGTAGCAAATTTATGAAATAATTCTCAACCTTTATCAAAGAAATCAATTCTTAAATACCCATGTTTTATAAAAAAAATGTTTGAATTATATAGCCTTGTGCAAAAGTGTGTTTAATATAAAACCCTAGCCTGGTGTCTCTGGTTATATAACCTTACAGACGTTTATACTACGTCATATAACCCAGGCAAATGTCTTTATTACCATTTTATTACTAAGGATATATAGAATTTACATCATGAGTTTTATTTGGGTACCAAAAGCTATGTCAAACATACTGCTGTATAAACTATTGTTTGTACCAAGGAAATTAAAAAGAAATCAAGGAAAATTATGCGTTATAAACTTAAATACTTATAAATATTATAGATAAAGCTCTAGCCGGTTTATATGTATGAACACAATTAAGGTCCTCAATTGTCGAGTGAATATAAGGTAATTGACTTCAAACCACTTGTCCCCGATCGCTATGGATTCGAGCTCCATCAGGCCCTTAGTCTCTTTCGTGTGACTTAACTATTCAGGCCTGCTCGTGTCGAAAATTGTGCATAAAAGGACACCCTGTGTATGACCCCAAGAGTAAAAACTACCACTAAGAGTCGCCAATATACATTCTTTAGATAAAATACTGGCTGGAGAACCCGTACATTTTTTTCTTTGGCGCGGCGGAATATATTCGGGTTGATATATCGTCAATATTGTTTTAAATACTGAATGGATTTTTCACAAATTAAATGACAAAAAAATCAGGAAAAGAAAGTATATAAGTTCTCTTTAGTTCTTATCCCCTTTCAGTTATAAGTAAAAATTGAATACATATAAATGTAATAATTGATGAAATATTATACTAAATATGAACTTAAATGAATAAATCGCATTTATAAAACTAATGAATCAAGTATTTTGCGGCTAATGACAACTTTTTATACTGCCTCTCGAAGTTTTCATCATTTTTTTCTAAAACGATTTAGTTAAACAGTCCATTCTTACGGAACCTCGGCGGTTCTACTCAGGTGCCCGTTCGTGCCCGAAATAATGCACGGAAGAGCACATGTAAAGCTGAAACGTCGCCATATGACAAAACAAACAAAATAATATATATGCATACTCGCTATAAAATATTACTAAAATAGAAATTCTATAATTTTTTTCTTACCGGTTGCAGCTATAACCAACAGCCTGAAATACCAAAAAGATACGTGATGCATTTTTTGTATTATGAACACCGTGAAAGTTTAGTTACAACTGAGTATGAAAACAATGTTTCCTGTTTTAACTACTTTGATTGGCCCACTTATCCACCCGCTTCACAAGCGGATTTGTCTACAGTGGGCACATTTCCAATAATTTTTTTTTTCAAATATTGATAAAAACAATAGAAATGTATCATTTGGATATTGTTATAAAAAAATATTTGAAACAAAAATGTTGATATACTATTAAGTGAATTAGAATGAACATTTCTATATGATGAATAATATTTTTTTTTCTATTTCGACATCAAGTGATGTTTTGTTTGTTTCATTTCCGCCTTTTCCCAATAGTATTTCAGTCATTTAGGCGGGTAATTACCTAACCATCGTTCCTGGAGAGTTACACCAGTACTAGACTACCTTCCTCCGCGCTAAACTACCAAAGCATCTCCCGGGGATCGAACCCACGCCAGAGAGGTGACTGGATAAGAAGTCATCGACTCTAACCCCTCGATATGTCGTGTCTCGTCTATCACCTCACCTGCTTTTATTTGCGTGAATGGATAAGTATGTGATATTTACATAAAAGTAAGAAATATAACATACTTAACGATTCAAGCAAATAAAAGCATATGTCGTGCCTTGAGGTTACCTATGTGTTAAAAAATGAGAGGGTACCTGTGATATAAAAATTCAAATGAAGAGAGGTAGCCCGTGCCGCTGCAAAACCGAAAGTAGGGTGTTTTTTATGAATTTTACATTTATTTTTGACCATATACTGCCATTTGTCCGAATATGATAAGTAAATGAACAAATTAAATATGTATAATGCATAATTATATAATCAAGCCACAGGTTCATTTCAGCCCGAAAAATATGTCGAGGTGATAGACGAGACACGACATGTCGATTTTTTGTAGCTTATTGTGAAGTTGCAGTACATGAAAAACGGGCACATGAATAATCAGCACATAAATAAAACATTCTAGTGTTCCGTGGTAGTGTCATCCCTCCTTTCCTTATTAAAAATGAATTTTACTGGATTGTTATCCATCGCTGGTTTGTTTTTAGCAGAGAATGTCCTGTGCATGTGCAAATTGGGTACCGTTTCAGCAGATTTCGCAAAGAGCGTACCGATATGGATATGCACCGTGAGTGATGTACATTTCAAAAAATACTAGTAGAAGAGATCTGGAAACGAATCGTCCGCTTTACGCGGAGTGGTAGATTAGAGGTTTCGGGGTGTCCTTATCGTTTATGTATTTTATCGTCGGCATATTTCATATTCCACCTTATTTTTTGTATTTGACAACTATATGGAACGATTAATCTAAACATAACATATTGAACCTTAAGAAAAGCCAAAGGCCGCTTTAACAACGTACAAAGAACCATTCCCCTATTTGTTTCCTGTTGTGTTAAACAATGTACTAGTAAGAAACCAAAAGAAAATTATTCATCAAGTGTTTTTGGTTTCTGTTTAAGTTTTTAAGTAATAGGGATGCTAATAAAAAATAATAATCGACAGACTAAGGGCAAGCTGTACAATATATCTGTTTATTAGCATTTATTTTTTTCTTATTTATTTAAATAATACAGATTTTCTGAAGTTTCATCCTATCAAAATTAAAGTGTGGTTCAATAGTTGACAGTTTAACTTGGAAACTGATTTTACAAACCTGGAAACTGATTTTATAACCTGGAAACTGATTTTATAAATGCTCGATATTATATACATCCATCAACAAGCCTACGTTTGGCTAAATCGTCAGAGAAATCTTTGCGAAGAGGAAGCTATCCCCTTATAACCCAAAAGAATATTTGTTTTTTCCCATCCCAAAAAGTGATTTTAAATCTCTAATTAGTAAACTTATATCATCTGAATGTTTAATCAAACTTGGATAAAGCTGTATAAAACAAACTTCATGATATCAACCCGGTCTTGTTTAACCACTACCTCTTTTAAAGCGTCAATCATGGGCGGCCCTTCTACTTTGCAAAACCATGACCGACTATATTTTCTGTAAACTAAAAATAAAATGATAAGACGGCCTTACATTTTTGCCAAAATCCTTACAGCGATTTGATTGGCTTCGCTTAAATCACTGCTTTTCACAGCTTCACGTGGTCATAGAAAACGTCACATGACATGAAAATACAGACTACTAAAACTACGCCACAGGCAACTGTTATTGACAAAATATTTTGGCGTTTTTTATGAAAAACAGACTTTTTACTTTCCTTTACCGCGAGATAAAAGGATGGCATATACCTTCTATTTTCATTTCATCTTGGGATTATCTCATCGCTGACCTCATACTTTCCTTGACCTTGGGATAAACTGACGACTGTATACTTTTCTTGGTCTAAGCAAACCATATATTTCACTTGACCTAAAGATAAAATGATGACTAACATTGGGGTAAAAGGACGGCATACTTTATATCTTCCTGGACCTTGGTATAAAATAAGGGAAGACCTTTATCTTCCTGGACCTTGGTATAAAATAAGGGGAGACCTTTATCTTCCTGGGCCTTGGGATATAATAAGGGGAGACTTTATATCTTCCTGGGCCTTGGGATATAATAAGGGGAGACTTTATATCTTCCTGGACCTTGGGATAAGATAAGGGGAGACTTTATATCTTCCTGGACCTTGGGATAAGATAAGGGGAGACTTTATATCTTCCTGGACCTTGGGATAAGATAAGGGGAGACTTTATATCTTCCTGGACCTTGGGATAAGATAAGGGGATACTTTATATCTTCCTGGACCTTGGGATATAATAAGGGGAGACATTTATCTTCCTGGACATAGGGATAAAATAAGGGCATACCTTTATCTTCCTGGATCTTGGGCTAAAATAAGGGGAGACCTTTATTTTCCTGGACCTTGGGATAAAATAAGGGGATACCTTTATCTTCCTGGACCTTGGGATAAAAGAAAGGTAAAAATTTATCTTCCTGGACCTTATGATAAACTAAGGGGTGACCTTTACCTTCCTGAACCTTGGGATAAAATAAGGGGAGATCTTTATCTTCCTGGACCTTTGGATAAAAACGGGGATACCTTGTATTTTCCTATCCCTTAGGATAAACTGGCAGCTGACGTTAAGATTTTCCTTGAACAAGAGTAAAAATGATGGCGAACCTTATAATTTTCTTGACTAGGGATAATAAATAAGCTGACATTTTATTGTTCTTTACCTTGGGATAAATGAAGGTTGACTTTATTTTCCTGGAACTTAGGATTAAATTATTGCTAATCCATACTTTCCTTGTCCTAAGGATAAAATGACGGCTGAATTAATACTTTTCTTCAATATTTTTCTTCGCCTAAGGATAAATGACTTAATACTTTTCTTCACCTAAGGATAACATGACTGCAGATCTTATATTTTCCTATACAACTAATATTACATTTTCTTTGACCTAGGGATAAAATGATGGATAACATTACATTTTCTTGACCTTAGGATGAAATAACAACAAACATGTCATATAGGAGTAGTATTTATATTTTCTTTGAACACATACCCCAGTTTTGATGTTCATAATAATACATTTGAATATTTTATCATTTAACATAGTCATCGTGATTTGAGCTGCGTCATAACAAAACCAACATAGTGTGTTTGCGAACATCATGGGTCCAGAACAGACTGCGCATCCGCACAGTCTGATCAGGATCCATGCTGTTCGCTATCAGTTTCCCTACTTGTAATAGGGTTTCTAAGCAAACAGCATGGATCCTGATCAGACTGGGTGGTTGCGCATGCTGGTCTGGATCCATGCTGGTCGTTAATGCACTATCTTGGTTTTGTCATGGTGCGGCTCATTTATTGTTTACAACTAATTTGCATTTTTTTGTCTGTTCAAAATTTCTTATTTAAATAAGATTTTTACCAACACATGGGAAAATAATCATTACCAAGTTAGTATTAAATACATGTATGTACAAACTCAACAGCCAATCATTCTATGGAAATGAAGGCCTAAAAGCAACTTTAATTTTTAACAAAAATAGTAATTCAGGTACAATTTATACATATTACAGTAATGTGTTAAAACTACTAGTTTTTTAATGAAAACTGACCAACAAAATCAGAAGAGGCTTCCTTTCAAACTGACATGTCCAGAACATTAAAAAAACTTATTTTTTGAAAAACATATTCATATTTTGCCTTTCATAAGTTCAAAACACACAGTTTATTTTGCGTTTACATATAAAATTGTTTGAAATTCAAAACTTACTTAGTTAGGAGGAAATTATTTAGAAAAATATTTGAGCAGTGTCTGAGAGAAGCCAAATCACGTCAAAGATTTTTCCATCCTTAAAAAACTATAAAACCCTTTTCCTGATTTCAGATAGTCAATCAAAACATCCATCTTATTTTATCAAACAGTAGGAACAAAATTTTTTTTTTTATCAACAAGGCATTCTATCCATCTGGGCCAACCCCCAAAAATTTGGTTTTGTGTGAGGTCATATATTAAAAAATTAATTAAATTTTTTTATCACTAGTTTTTTGAATGGGGGTTTTTTTATTTTCATAAATCTCATTTTGATAAATAAAGGGGATTTTACTATAATTTTTTTACTTTTTTTCAGTTTTAAGCCACACCAACACAGTCATGGTCATGTGACACATTTCAAGCCTTACCGGTGGAGGAAGACCTCAGGTGCCCCTCCATGTATTGTTTCAAGTACGTTCAAGCAATCAACAAAACAATAATCCTTCAGCACAAACCGGCACCTGAATTGAACCACAGTCCTCCCGTAAGGTTGCTGTAGTGCTTCTCCACATGAAATAATCAAAAGTCTCTAATAAAATTCAAGCCAAAAATGGTGAAAAGCCAGTCATTTGAAGTCAGTGACCTTGACCACTAAGCCAAAGAAGCCCCACGTTTCTTACAGAAATCAAAATAACGATACATATTTTTTCAAATATTTCCATCGAAAAACAAAATCCCTGTGCACCTGAAAATTACGATTCCCAGTAAGAACCTCCCTACAAACCCACCAACTGCATAAGTGTGTGCAATTATACATGTGCAGATAGTAATGCCCTTTACCTACAGAAACTGAAAATTA